TGTGAGGAGGCATCGTCTCTCTTGTTGTCTGTGCCATTGCACTTCATGTCCCAGCTCGCTGGGCCAAGCTACCGAGCTACTGGATGATCAGTCTCCTATTTTTTATTTTTATAACTATTGTGAATGAGATTGCTTTCTTGATTTCATTTCCAGCAGGTCTATTACTGGTGTATAAGAGTGCTACTAAATTTTATATGTTGATTTTTACATACTGAAATTTTTACTGGATTCATTTTTTAAATCTCTACTAGTCTTTTGGTGATCATTAGGCTCTTCTTTTACTATTTGTACACCTTTTACTTCTCTTACCTAATGTTATGACTAAGACTTCCAGTTCTGGGCCAGTGAGATGGCATAATGAGTGAAGGTACTCTATGAAGCCAAGAGTAAAGACCTGAGTTTTATTCCTGTGGTCCACATGGTGGAACGAGAGAGAACTGACTCCTTAAAGCTATCTTCTGACCTCCACATGCATGCTCTGGCACATGCACAAATGCACATAACCCCCACCCCCACCCCCCGCCCACACACACTCATATATATATATTTTTTTTTAATTTAGAAGGGGCTGGAGAAATAGTTCAGTGATTGTGGGGGCGGGGATGGTTTTCGAGACAGGATTTCTCTGTCTTGTACATTAAAGACATGAACCTCCACGACCACCTAAATTGTTCCATGTTTCTAATTAAGAGTTTTTATTTAATTTATTTATTTTGAGGCAGGGAACCCCAGGATGGCCAAGAACTCATGGTATCCCAGGCTGGTCTGGAATTCATGATTTTCTTGTTTCAGCCTTCTGAAGGCAATATAGGTAGAAATGATAAGAAATAAAATACTAGAATGTATGCCTCTTCCCACTGTGTGTGTGTGTGTGTGTGTGTGTGTGTGTGTGTGTGTGTATACACATGTGCACGTATGTGTATGTGTGCACCTGTTGCTAGAGTTTTCCTGCCTGGCCCATAGTCAGGACAAATCTCTCTCACCTGCCAGTCCCACAGCCGCTCAGACCCGACCAAGTAAACACAGAGACTTATATTGGTTACAAACTGTATGGCCGTGGCAGGCTTCTTGCTAACTGTTCTTACAGCTTAAATTAATCCATTTCTATAAATTTATACCTTGACACATGGCTCGTGGCTTACCGGCATCTTCACATGCTGTTTCTCATCGTGGCGGCTGGCAGTGTCTCTCTGACTCAGCCTTCCACTTCCCAGCTTTATTCTCCTCCTTGTCCCGCCTACACTTCCTGCCTAGCCAATGGCCAATCAGTGTTTTATTTATTGACTAATCAGCAACACATTTGCCACACAGAACATCCCACAGCATGCACCTGTGTGTAGGTTCCAACAGAGACTAGAAAGGGCTATCAGATCTCATGGAGCTGGAGTTACAAGTAGTTGTGAGCCACCAGATGTGGATGCTGGGAATCAAACTTGGGTCATCTGGAAGAACAGTAAGTGCTCTTAATCACTGAACTATTAGAGCGAGGCAGATCTCTGTAAGTTTGAGGCCAGCCTGGTCTACAAAGTGAGTTTCATGACAGCCAGAGCTACATAGTGAGACCCTGTCAATAAACAAACAAACAAACAAACAAACAAACAAACAAATAAATAAATAGAAACATTGAAGGATGATCCTGTAATTTTCCTCTAAAGTAAAAGTCATCTGAAATGAATGACAAAATAGAAGCATGGCTGTCTGTGGCATACAATCTCTTACAGGAAGCTGAACATAGATTTCCGTAACTTAGCTTCCCAGACTACATCTCTTGACTCTCTTCTTGAGAAGTGGCACATCTCTAGATTGGTAATTAAGTGACAAGTTGGCTACTTAAGTTCTAAAGCAGATCAGGGTAGAGTGATGAATTTTCTTTGGAATTCAAAGGATTTCTGCAACAGCATATTAACAAAGATACATTATTAAAGCTCCAATATTTACAGATCCCAAAGAAGCATTTAGGGATTTAGGGAGTTAATCTTTGACTTCTCAAACCAATTTTCCACTGTTAGTCAGAATACCAATGAGCTGCTAAAAACTGCAGGGAGTAGTTAGGCCACACTGCTAGTGCAAGTTGAGCTTGATTGGCTTACTGGATGTATCGTAGTAAAGTATGTGAGGACTTTTCCCGGGCCATTTCTTACCATTCCACACTGTTGTCCTAGTCTGAGCCCCATTTTCATAATTGCCATCTTGATAGGAAATAGAATCCCTGTAAGACACAAACCTGCCTGAGGGTGTTTCTAGACTGGGTTAATTGAGGTGGGAAGATGTACCCTAACTGTGGATGGCATGACAGGGTCTTGACTGAGTAAGGAGGAGAAAAGCTGCCTCACCCTCCTGCGGCCAGAACTTCCCCACAGTGAAGGATGGTACCCTGAAGCTGTGAGCCAGGACAACCCCTTCCTTAAGCTGTTTTTATGAGATACTTTGTTACAGCAAAGAGGGAAGTAATTCACACTCCCTACTTAGGGCCTCTGCCCTGAGTGGGTGGGTGGGTGGTTGTTTTGTTTTTAACTCTAGAAGGCCTTTTCTAACACTGTCTTCTTAGTTGCCACATAGTTTCCTTCAAGCCTTTGGATATAGAACTTCTCAGTGTATTTTACCCTGATTATTGTTTAATATTGCAGTGATCTAACTCCAATGCATTTCTTCGTTCTTTCATTTTTTGTTTTTCCAGACAGGGTTTCTCTGTGTAGCCCTGGCTGTCCTGGAACTCACTCAGTAGACAAGGCTGGCCTCGAACGAACATCCGCCTGCCTCTGCCTCCCGACTGCTGGGATTAAAGGCATGCCCACCACCACCCAGCTTACTCCAGTGTATTTCTGATGTTCTTGCCGTTCCTTTTTTTTTTTTTTTTTTGTCCACACTCAGGATTTTATTTTAATATTTATTTAGTGCCTTTTCCAGCTCCTTTAGAATATAAGCTCCCTGAGAGCAAACATGTTTGTTTTATGCATTGACACAAATCTCTAATCCAGTGTTTGACACAGAGTAGATACTCAAATATTTAGTGAATGGATGAGTTGTGAGACTAGCCCTAGAACCCTCACCGTGAAGCTGGTGTGGTGGCTCATACATGCAATCCCAGCCCAAGGACTGGCCAAAGAATTGGGAGTTCTAGTCTAGCCTGAGCTACAAGGAAAAACCCTATCACAAAACAAAACAACACTCACTGGCAGCCACTGTCCATGCCACACTCTTCTTTTTCACACACCTTACTCTGGCAGCCATGTGTGACAAACCCAGTATGAGTAAAATTGCAAAATTTCATAAGTTGAAATCGAAGAAGACAGAAATGCAAGGGAAAAAAATCTTCTGCCTTCAAAAGAAAGGCTGAAACAGGAGAAGCAAAATAGGCAGATACTATCAGTATGCCTTGCATGTCCACAAGCATTGCCTCCTGATTTTTTTCCTTTTTTATTAATTAATTGATTAATTTGTGTGTATAAGTATTTTGCCTGCATATATGTCTATGCACTGCAGACAGAAGCCAGAAGAGGCACCAGATCCTCTGGAACTAGAGCTACAGATAGTTGTTAGTTGCTCTGTGGGTCCTGGGAATTGAACCCACATCCTCTGGAAGAGCAGCCAGTGCTCTTAACTGCTGTGCCATCTCTCTAGCTTCCAATTTTAGTACTTTTAGCTGTTTGATTTTCCGAGCAGCAAAGAGGTTTGGGTCGAGTTTAAATTACATATTACCCCTTTCACATTAAAGAATCAAGCAGTGCTGGGCAGTGGTGGCGCACGCCTTTAATCCCAGCACTCGGGAGGCAGAGGCAGGTGGATCTCTGTGAGTTCGAGGCTAGCCTGGTCTACAGAGTGAGTTCCAGGATAGACTCCAAAGTCACACAGAGAAACTCTGTCTCAAAAAATCCAAAAAATAAATTAATTAATTAATTTAATTAAATAAATAAAAAAAGAATCAAACAGCCCTGACACTGAAGGCTGGCCTGGCAGTCTGGCTGGCAGGGAAGGAGAACTTGCATGCTGGGAAAGGAAGGAGAACTTGCATGCTGGTAAAGGAAGGAGATCTTGCATGCTGGTAAAGGAAGAAGATGGATGAGAGTTGTTAAAAATCTCAAGTAAAATGCAAGAGGCCTAAGGTATTCTGAGGTCTGTAAAATGCGGGTGCCGATTTTTTAAAAATAATTTATTTTTATTTTATGTGCATTGGTGTTTTGCTTGCCATGTATGTTTGTGTGAGGCTGTCAGATCTTGGAGTTATAGGCAGTTGTGAGCTGCCATGTGGGTGCTGGGAAGAGAACCTGGGTCCTCTGGAAGAGCAATCAGTGCTCTTATAACACTGAGCCATGTCTCCAGCCCCCGTGCCAATTTTTTTTATGTTCAAATGACTTTAATTTAATTAGAGTATACATTTAAAAATATACAAGTAAAAGGTTTTAAAACCTGGAGAAAAAAAACTAAAAAAAATCTCGGAGACACCTTTTTTCAAAATCCTATTTATTTATTTTTTTATGTAAATAGTTATTTTACCTGTATGTATGTCTGTGCATCATGTGCATGCCTGGTGCCCACAGAGACCGGAAGAGAATGTCAGATTCCCTGAGACTGGAGTTATACATGGTTGTGAGCTGCCACGTGGGTGCTAGGAATTGAACCCAAAGCCATTGGCAGAGTAGCCAGTGCTTGTAACCATTAAGCCATCTTTCCAGCCCAGACTCTGATCATTTCTTTAGAAATGAATTCTAGAAATAACTTTTTAAAAGTAGATTAGATTACCAGTGAGGACTAGAGGCTTGGGAGTTACCAGTGGTTACAGAGTTTCTATTTGAGATGGTAGAAACGTTTTTAGGAACATACAGAGGACAGTTGTATAACACTAAGAAAATAATGAAGAGTTCTGAATTGCCCAAATAGTATACGAGTTAATTTTCTGATCACTGTGTATATAGTCAGAAATAGCCTGTGAAGAGACTGAAAGCCAAGCCTGCCTAGTCCCCTTGCCTAACTAAATGAGGCTTTTCTTATATGTCTTTTAGGTTACCCCACAGCCTACCCGGCAGCTGCCCCTGCCTACAATCCCAGCCTCTACCCGACCAACAGCCCCAGTTATGCTCCAGGTAAGGAACAGGGGAGCGCAGTGGTGAGGAGGGTGGAAGCAGGCCTCCACTTGTGAAACAAATCCTCCGGTTGGCCCTTCTTTTGAGACTGCCCCGGAGTCAGCCAGTTCTGGCTCGATTCTCCTGGGAATTCCCTCTGGGAACTGGGGCAGGACAACCTTGGGGTGGGAGTCGAGTCCCTTCGTTGTCCCTGGACTTGAGGGTGGCCCCTTTTTTCTGTGCTGGAATACACGAGACTGCTTCATCTCTCTCAAGCAGTGTCCAAATTAATGTTTCCCTCGGTTTTGCCTGAGGCTGCCATTGGGAATCACTCTCTTTCTTTCTTTCTCCCTCCCTCCATTCCCTTCCTTCTCCTTCCCTCTCCCTCTGGGGTATAAATTTGGAATAGAGTGAGAGACTTGCCACCAGAGTAAAGAGCCTTTTTACAGGCTGAGACAATTTGCTTGTTTTTCAGAAACAGAAGACATGTAACACTTCTTGAACAGAGAGATTGAAATGGGTTTGAAATACTGAAGGAGGTGCTAGGCATGATGGCATACACTTATAATCTCTGCACTTGGAGGCTTGGGCCACAAGTCTGAGGCCAGCTCGAGTTCATAATAAGAAAGAAATCAAAAAACAAAAACAAAAAAAACTGAAAGAAAATATTGAAAAGTTTTTTTTTCTTCCTGTTTGGGGCCAGGAGTGTTACTGGTGTTTTAACCACTGATCTAACGCCTGGGCTCAGTCAGTGCTTAACACCCATGATCAGGAGAAGGAATGGGCACTATGGTTTGGAAATCCTGGGTTTGAAACCAGATTAGTCTTCTCCCTAGGTATATAGCCCTAGGTATATAGCCCTGGACAAGTCACCTCACCTTTCCGAAATTCATCTGTAACCACTTACCTTAGGGTTGCAGGTGATTTTACGTAAGTTCTTTAGTCACTCACTAAGCATTTGTTGAATGTTCTCTATAATGGGATAGAGGAAAAAAAGTTGTCATCTTTGCCTGAAGGAGCTCATAGTTAATTTTGGACCCTGGCATATTATTAATAATGATGAATTTTTCTACAATACAGTAATATATAAAGAACAGATGCAGAACCACAGTCTACCTGGAGGTGATAGTTAGGACTTCACAAAGGAAGTAACAGTAGAGACTTGAGGCACGCAGAAGTAGGAGGTGCCTTTAGAGGCACACAGGGGAGGAGGGCATATTCCAGGGCAGAGCATGCCTATAAAGGCACAGTGGAGGTGTAGAACCTTACTGCTGAGCCTAGAATTAGTAGAAATGGTTGAAGCATAGACTGAGAGGGACTGGATGAATCTGAACTACAGACTACAAAGAACTAATTTGGAAAGACCTTAAATGTCACATCCTCCTTCCTCCAATCCCCCCCACCCCCCACCCCCAGAGCTGAGGACCAAACCCAGGACCTTGCTCTTGCTAGGCAAGTGCTCTACCACTGAGCTAAATCCCCAATCCCCCATTTCTTATTTAGTGAATATTACGGAATTGAAAAGCCCCCAGGGATTCTTTAATTCAACCTCCTTTGTGATTAAGACATCCTGGAGAAGAGCTGTTCCATCCCACATTACCTGTTAACTGACAACAGCTTATAGACTAGAATCTTGGACAGATTTCCTGTCCTGTGCTTTTCTGTGCCAATCTGGTACTCATTCTGTAGGTATCTCTTTCTTCTGAGGTGTTTAAGACAGAAAAGAGCATGGGCTGTATTTGTAGACCTATATTTGAGCCCTGGAATTATTATCATATTACATACATGCTGTGAAGTTACAGGCAGCTCCCTCATTTATTTTTCTTTTGGCTTGTTTGTGTAGCCACAGACTATTCTAGGAAGGCATGGTGGTAAACATCTGTAATATCAGTACTTGGGAGATAAAAGCAGAGGATCAAAAGTTGAAATGTAGCTTCTGCTACATAGCAAATGCACAGCTAGCCTGAGCTACATGAGAACATGCCAAACCCTCCCCAAAAGAAATTGTTTATGCATAGTAAGTAATGATAGACATGTCCTGCGCTATTAGTTACTTTTATTCTACTATGATCAAAACACCTGAGAAAACAACTCAAGTGAAGAAAAATATGTTTTAGTTTGTCATTTCACAAGATTCAGCTCATAGTCTCTTGGTCCCATGTGCTTGGGGAGAACATCATGGTGCTGGAAATGGTGCTGGAAATGTGTGGCAGAAGGGAGCTGTTCACTTCATGGCTGACAGGAAGTAGAGAGTGGTAATATAATGGAACCTGGGCAAGATACAGCCCTGAAGGGCACACCCATGACCTGCTTCCTCCCTCTAGACAGGACGTTCTACCATTTCCTCATAATCTATTCCAATTTGAAATGCATAGGTGGATTAAATGATTCATTAGTCAAAGCTCTCTTGACCTAGTCATCTCTAGAAACACCTTTACACATACACCTAGAGGTGTGCTTTACCAGGTTTCTAGATGTTTCTTAATCCAGCCAAATTAACCAACACAACAGGTATTTATTTGGGCCCTATTAATTAATTATACAAGCCTTAACCATTCTAGAAGTTACTGTGGGTGATGCTCATTTGAGGAAGCTGCCATTACTGCCCTGAAAGAGTTTTTTAAGGGGAACAGTGACCTGTGGACTAATCTTTTAATGACAGTGTTGATTTTTCTATTTCCTTTAATAAGTAAGATACATTATTCCACTACCCCAGATCTGTAATAGTAGGCAGCTACGATATAAAAGCTACACAAATTATCTGATAAAAAAATCAAAGTAATGAGTTCTGTCTTAAAAACTAAGAGAACATTATGAAATATCATGGCACTCAAGTGATTTCAATCCAAGTACTGTGAAATCTGTGAGTTGGCTTTGTAAACTAGCCTAAAATAGGGGGAGTTGAGTTGTGGCAGAAGTTCAGGTGAGGTCACGAAGTCTTCATAGTAGGAATCCTAGAGACCTCACTGAGGTTAGGGGGCCTGTGAGACTGGAAAGCAGAGTGCAGTGAACAAGTCGGGAGAAGTGATGTACTTCTCCTGAAGAAGAAAGTATGAGAGTATGCTTTCCAGAAACTCGGCTACCAAGGAAAGAAAAAAAGGCACAGTGTGGAAGGGGGTGTGCAGGTGAACGGGCGTTTGGGGTGTCAGTGTGATTAAGTGCACACTTGTGGGAAGGAGCAAGTAGAAGACAAGTCACAGGTACAGAGCAGCACAGAGCTAGGTCTCCCAGCAGCTGGCACACAGGGCTCCTGTTTCAGTTCCCTTCCTTGTTTGGGAAGTTGAGTGACAGGAGGAGGTAGAGTGCCTCACGGTGTGGGGCAGCTCAGGACTAGCACTCATTTGAAGACTCGAGTTAGTTCAGGCTCTAATCCCTAGAGGTGAGCCACTTTCTCATAGTATTCAGCACTTCTGCTGAGAGATTTTAGGATTATTTAAGGATCAATTTGGCAAGTAATTGGCAGGAATAAAATACTCTATTAAAGACCAGGCATGGTAGTACATGCCTTTAATCCCAGCATTTGGAAGGCAGAAGCAAGTGGATCTCTATGAGTGAGTTCCAGGTTAGCCTGGTCTATATAGTAATTCCAGGCCAGCGAGCTCTACATAATGAGACCCTTAAAATAACAAAAACAAAAAACTACAATTAATTCAATGTTTCCTTTGTGTCGGCAACAATTTGAAGCTCTTTATGGGTATTAATTTGTTTTATATTACAACAAACTGAGAACTTTGTTTTTCACAATTTCTAACTGGGAAAATAGAAACTTAGAGAAGTTCAGCAACTAGAACCGCATTCTGGCATCCTGCCACGGTACCTGAACTCTTAACCACCTGTGGCTGCTGAGGCAGTGGGAAGCACTGGGGTGTTTGACAGGAACAGCCAGGCTGGAGAAGAAGGCAGTGTAGAGAGGAGTCTGAGATTGTTAAAAACAAGGACAGCCTGGAAAACTGCAGGTGTAGGTAGAGTATTATGTTTCAATAGTAAAGTGAAATAATAATAATAATAATAATAATAATAATAATAAGCCTTTATCCAACCTGATTAATACTTTAAAAAGTCAACATATTTCTAATCTATGATTAAGCCAAACCATTTGCTCAGAAATCCACAATAAAGGATAGTACTAGTGCATTGTGTTAGACAGTCCACACTGGCCAGGTGTAGTGACATACACCCCTTATCCCTACACTTGGGAATTGGAGACAGGCAGATCAGGAGTTCAAGGCCATCTTTACCCCAAAATCAGGAAGGAAGGGAAGGAAAGAAGAGGTATCAGACTGAAATTGTTTCAGATGTTTGTGTGACTTTGGGGGAGATCTTGTGCGCGCATGTGCGTGCGCGCACACACACGCACACACACATGCCCATGCCCTCAGGCTTACATGCTCATAGTGGGGTCAGTTTAATATTTTGTGATGCTGAACTCTACCTTCACAGGTCTGACTATTAGGGGGGGAAGTTCCTGCCATAAAGGCTCAAGATCAGAGAGAACATTAAAAGTGAATCTCAGCTTCTTGCCAGAGCTGGCCATTTGTGATTCAGGGAGGTGCCTGCAAGGAGCCAGCCATGAAGATTTAAATTTCCTTCAGTTACTTCAAGGAGACCAAGAAATTGCTCACAGAGAGCTCTTTTTAGTAGCTCTATGCTCCCTTAGGTTCATCTGTTCAGGATACAGGGGGAAAACTCATTCTTTCATTGGTTCTGAAAGCTATGTGGGTACCTAGGCTTCTTCCCAAGTGCCTGCCAATTTCAGGGATCATATTTAGGTATTTAACTTCACAGGAGGCAAAAAGACTTCTTTTTCAGAATCCAGGGAGCAAAGGGTTTATCATATTCCTGATAATGTAACTTGAAAGTGAAAAGAAGGATAAATAGAAAACTAACGTCAAAACTCTCATAAGAAGCATGTTCTTACCTCTTGTTTCATTTGAATTATAATCCCACAGAAGTATGCATATGATTTTTCCATTCCCATTTTGTATATTACAAATTTGGGGGAAAGTAGAGGAAAATAATCTGTTTCTAAACACCTGCACACTGAAGCTCTGTGTAAGGCAAGTTACAAATGCACCTTTTTACCTTTGTCTTGTAAGCTAGAGTTTCTTGCCTCCAGTTTAGCTCAGAGAAGATAAAGTAACTTTCAGAATTAGATTTAAAATGCCGTGGATATGAGATTCAAACCCATTTGTCTGACCCCATAGTCATGTTCCTTCTACAGCATAACACTGTCCTAGATAGAATGTCTCTACATTGAACCTAGTTCTCTGAGAGGCCTGTGACGGCCATTAATTGTCCCCTGAGCCTTTATTTCTTCCTCATTGTAGTCTCTATCATGCTTGAAATCCCTTAGCAGTTCTTAGGAGAATTGAAATGGTCTTAATATGGACAAGCAAAGAACAGGACCTTATGCCTCTTCATATCCAGGCAGTTTTCAGTCACTTCTCTGGAAGATCCTGTGGCATCCAAGGAGGTGCTTCTCTGTAACTAATGAACTTTCCTGGATGGCAAGTCTGTCACCCTTTCCAGGGGGAGGTACTTCCCATTCTCTCCATTCACTGCTTCTTATGCAACCTGGGGGAAACTGCTATCTTGAAACAAGTCTGTTATATAACTGCAATATGTACAACTTTGCACAAATTCTTAGTGGTAATTTCAACTAACATTTCTATCCAACAGAGTTTCAGTTCCTGCATTCAGCTTATGGTAGGAGAGCTATTTTTCCTCATCTGTATTATGGCCTATGAATGTGTTACCTTGTAACAATGGTAGATTCCCTTTCCTTTCCTTCCCAAATCCCACCTCCTAGGCTTGGGCTCCCCCAGGTGGCTCAGCAGCAGTTCCTATAGCATGCAGGAACATGTCTGATGGTGCAAAAATCATGGGTTGGAGACACACATAAACCATTCCCATAGGGCAGTAATAAAGGATCATGGCACTAAAAGGCGTCTCACACCCTAACCTGGCTGCCTGATTCAAACAAATGAATGAAAATTCTAGGGCCTGTGTGTGGCTCCTCTGTTGGCTTTATGGTAGGCTCTGAGGAGCCCCTTGATTATGCCTATTAGACCCTAAAACACAGTCAGATGGCCCCAGGATCAGATTTTCCATTTCCATTAGCAGTCTGACATGTTTGAAGACCTGGTTGACTTTAGAAACACTCTGTTGCCATCATCCTGATCTTGAGCTCTAGCTTCATTTTCGGAGCATTTTTTCTGAATGATGAAAGGTATGGGCCAAGTGTGCCAGTGGGTGAGAGATCTGAGTTGAGTTCTCTGGACAGTGTGGACTCCAGGCCCAAGGCACCACGGGAACTTCTGGGCACCTGTGAGGGTCCCAGCAGTGTAACTTGACTAGGTCCTTCTTGTCATAGACAGTAAGGGACCATGGGAGAAACTTGCCACTTTTACCACACTCACCTGGGCTGCTCATGATATTTTTGTAAAAATCTTTGAATGTTTTCCCAACTTTTAATCTTGATGTTGAAAAGTGAAAAGTACCATCTTTATGCATGGTACTTCTTTCAGAAGATGAGCTGTGAAATTTCTTTTCACTACTGCTGTGAGCTGTGTGATCTTGGGCAACTTGCTAATGTCCCCAGGCCATAAAGTTTTTCATGTCACATGATTTCAAGGTTCTTTTAAATGCCAATGTATCGTCCTCTTGTAATTGTTATTATTTCAATAGTGCTAGCTACAGAACTGTTTCACTTACCACTTATGAGAGGCTGGTTTTTGTTTGTTTGTTTGGTACAGAATATATAAACTTGAACAAAGACTCTAAAATGTTAGAGAAGGCTGCATGCTTACTCACCCTTCCAATTAAAATAGTGGTTCTCGCCGGGCGGTGGTGGCGCACGCCTTTAATCCCAGCACTCGGGAGGCAGAGCCAGGCGGATCTCTGTGAGTTTGAGGCCAGCCTGGACTACCAAGTGAGTTCCAGGAAAGGTGCAAAGCTACACAGAGAAACCCTGTCTCGAAAAACCAAAAAAAAAAAAATAGTGGTTCTCAACCTGTGGGTTACGATCCTTTGGGGTTGAGTGACTCTTTCACAGGAGTCACCTAACACCACAGGAAAACACAGATATTTACATTACAATTCATAACAGTAGCAAAATTATAGTTATGAAGTAGCAATAAGAATAATTTAATGGTTGGGGTCACCACAACATGAGGAACTGCATTAGGAAGGTTGAGAACCACTGACTTAGAACATCTAATGAGAAGAAGTGTGGATAGAGCACTTCAGAGTGTTCTATGCCAGGCCTTATATTGGCCCTGTGAAGATACAAAGAACAGTAAGACAAGGTCCCCATTCTCTAGAAACTTACAATTTATTGGGAAGACATTCAAGGCAACCAGGTACAGAGACCTCTAAGAGTCACAGGAACTGGGATAGTCAATGATGTGGGATGATGCGGTCAGAGAGGAGGCAGAGGAAAAGACTTCCTGGTAGAATTGAGTCTTCAACTCATGCTTGATTACTTAACACCTGTGTACCAGGTGGAATGTGCCAGGAGAGCTAGTAGAGTGGACAAAACCATAGAGAAGTAAAGCTCCTTGGCAGACTCCGGGGTGATAAGAATTTGTGCACAGTAGTGCAGGTTGGAGAGTGATAAGATTAGAGAACCAAGAAAGATGTGTCAGTCAGGAAGAAGACAGTGGTCAAGAAGTAGCACGAGCCTATAAAACCTACTTCTCCCAAGGCTCTGCCACAACCTTCCAAAATACCAAACTCCAACCGGAGACCAAGTGCTTAGACTTATGAGCCAATGTAAAATATTTCAGTTCAACCACAAGAGACCATCAGTATTAGGTCGGAGGAGTCTCGAATGCAGAGTTGAATCTGCAGCCTGTAGGCAACAGAGAACCATGGAATGTTTCTAAGAGTTTTATAATTTGGCTTAGAGTTTTAGACCAGTGTGGCTATTGCTTGGAGATTAGAAGGGACAAGTTAAAACAAACAAACCCAAAGCATTAAGAAGCAAGCAGTTGAAGTGACTGAGGTAAGAGACAGTTAGAGTTCCAACTGGAGTTGGCCACAACTGTAAGGATGGAAGCGTATAGCTACCAGAACTAGAAACCATTAAGACTGATGATCTGTCAATACTGTGAAGCAACCAGGGGGTGACTAGTACTGCCAGTTTACAATACAACAGAAATAAAGCTCAGACAATTAAGTGATTTGCCCAAGGTCCCACAACTAGTAAACGGCAGAGCCCAGGTTGTATCTCAGATTTCCTGACTCAGTACCTGGTTCAGGATGATGGTCCCTTGCTGCCTTTCTTTGTAAATGTGTTTAACAGATTGTTCTAGTGTCAAAGGGCGTGAGGGTTCCATATCCAGGAAGTGAACAACTCAGCAGCTATATGTGGGCAGCCTGCTGTGACAGGCAGGGGTCATAGCCCTCCACATGGTTCTGTTTTTCCCCCTCTCTGTCCTTTTTACACATCTATAATAAGTACATAAAGTCTTAAGTGAACAGATTAATAATGTTTTCATATGTGGTACACCTGTACTTAACTATAGCTTAAAAGTCAAAGGATAAAACATTTTTAGGAAGTAGTTCCTTTTCAGCAAACCAAAACAGGTCTGCCTGACAGAGAGCCCTTGCTATTGCCATGCTGCTAAAAGCTTCATTCAGGGGCTGGAGACATGGCTCAGTAGTGAAGAGCACTGACTACTCTTCCACAGGACCCAGGTTCAGTTCCCAGCACCCACATGGCAGCTCACAACTGTCTGTAACTACAGTTCTGATGGATCTGATGCCCTCACACATACATGCAAGCAAAACATCAATGCACATAAAATTAAAATAAAGTTAAAAAAAAAAGCTTCATTCAGTTTGGATTGGTTTCATGCAGAAGCTGAGCTCTGCATTTTTATTGCTACCACTATCAGAAAGGATTACTGTAGAACTGAACAGAGAAACAGAATCATACAGTTAATGAAGAGGTTAAATTGACTGCTAAAAATTCATTTTCATTTAGTTTTCACATTTATCTAATTATTTAAATTATTAACTATTCTAGCATAAAGAAAATATACTGCCAGGTGTGGTGGCGCACACCTTTAGTCCCAACACTTGGGAGGCAGAGGCAGGCAGATCTCTGTGAGTTCAAGGCCAGCCTGGTCTACAGAGCGAGTTCCAGGATAGCCAGGGCTGTTACACAGAGAAACCCTGTCTCAAAAAACAAACAAACAAAACAAAAGAAAAGATGCAGAAAATGCTGTTTGCTTTCAGCATATAATAAAACTAGAAGAAACATCCCTTTTATTTGGAAAATGTAAAGTTTAGCCTAAGTGATCACCTAGGAAAGACAATCAATGACACAATGGCACTTGCTTCTTTCCCAATTAATCTGCAACATTATTTTACTATGACATGCTGTCTTGTTCACTCCCTGGTTGATGTGTGGCTGAGTTGCATCCCCAGTAGACCGTAAGTACCTTGTGTGCAGTGACGTAACCCACGTGTGTTCCTGTCCACCGTGGCACTCCCCTCAGTGCTGAGTGCAAGTAGGCCTCAGTACTCTGTGGCTAATTTTGATTTAACTTCAGTTGTCACACAGTCCTTCAGGCAATTGTCAGACTCTTGGCTTATAATGAAAATTATAAGTATGCCTCACTCAGAAGAAGGAAAAAAAAACAACAACCAAAAATGGAACAAATCAAGACTTCTAAATTTTCCAAATTCTTACGGCCAAATTTAGACCTCTTGGTCCTTGGTAGAGCCTCACTGAGATCTTAGGGCATGGAATTGCTCTATTTGACTTCTCAGAGCTACATCTTCGACACAGCAGGGAGTTGTTTGGGGATGGTTATGGCCTTCCAGCCACACTGAATGTCAATCCCTGAATTTGGAGACATTGTGATAAGATTTTTTGACACTAATTGGGTCCTTCCACCCTCTGGAGAAAGACCCTGAAGATGTTTATTGGAAGCAGACTCCCTCCTCCTGCAGGGGCTACACAACTGTGTCTGGCTGTCTAGCAAGGGCTCTGGGCTCTACATGGAGTTGTGCTGTCTCCATTTCTCTTGCCAGATTCTCCTTTTAGTGTCACTTTCCTGCCCATGATTTCCTTCTCATTCCTCAGCATTTGCTGTATATACTGCGGGCCATTAATGCAAGCAGAGTCAGCCGATGCAGCCACATTCTGATTCTAGTTCAGAAAAAAACAGCAGAATCCACAGCCTTCTCTAGCCATTACAATTCTGTGGTAGAAGGAACAGAGATGTTAGCTGTAAACCAGGCAGCAAAGACATTGTAGAATCTCTCTGGAGGTAGCAGACCCTGAAGGAATCAATATGACCAGCATACTTTCTTCTTAGGCTTCCCTGTCTTTCCTTACCCCATATTAAAATATTTCAAGTTCATCTGATTGTTGCTAGTCCAGCCCCACTTCTGTTAACATACTTTAAAACACTGTGTCCAAGACTCCCAAGATCTTATTAGAATGTAAAAGATGTTATAAAGAAAAAAAATCCTTTTTTAAACCATAAAAATAGAAATTTGAATCAAAAATATGTCTCTTCTGGTATTTGAAAGGATAGTTTTCCTTCCTTTCCTTTCTTCTCTCTCTCTCTCTCTCTCTCTCTCTCCCTCCCTCCCTCCCTCCCTCCCTCCCTCCCTCTCTCTCTCCTTCCCTCCCTCCCTCCTTTCTTCATTTCCCCTATTTCCTCTTTTTCCTTTCCCTCAGGATACCATGACGGTAAGTTTTTTTAAGCATTCCCCACTTCTAAAACACTTAATGAAATCTCTCAAGTTGAGCTTTGAGCTGTCCTGGAAAGTCTCTACAGATTTCAAACTAATTTCTATAACATACCTAACCCAATTTTGACACTTTGATAATGGCCAAAGGATCATCTCTAACTCATGAGGCACTGTCTCAGTTGGAGTATCCAGCAGCACCTGTTAGGAGATTTTCAGACATGTGCAAAAGGTGTATCTGTCCCACCCTGGCTGGTATGCAGCAGGAGTTGGCAAGGAGTGCCCCATTGCATAGCTGATAGTGCAGCCTCAGAGTCCAGGCCTTTCTGGCTGCCATGGCCACAGCTCAAGTCTGCTGGAGGAGGCACTGTTCCAGCAAGGTTCACATAAAATGGTAGTTACTTGTTACTTTTTCTTTGGAAGTAACTCACAACTTTTTTTCATTTGTCTGTTTTTGGTTTGGGTTTTTCAAAACAGAGTTTCTCTATGTAGCCTAGGCTGACCTCAAACTCACAGAGATCCGCCTGCCTCTGCCTCCCAAGTGCTGGGATTGAAGGAATGCACCACCACACCTGGTGCAACTCACAACTTATTAACCATACCTCCAGATAAGATTTCAAACCAGAGGGAATTGTTTAAGACTCAGTTAATCTGACCCAGTACACTGTTAAAGAATTTCAAGTTGCTTCATGTTAATGAGAAAGTAATAGAGGAATATACCACAGTCTTAGATCAGAAGGTCAGGTGGAAGATGGTGAAACCATGGGCATTTTCATGGTTTTAATCATAGGTAGAAAAAAATCCTGATTTTCAGTATTGAAGTGTATGTTTCCTCAGATTTAAGTCATTTGGAAGCTTACTTTAGTACTCCTTCCAACCCACTATCCCATCTCTAAAAGGCTGAATCATTCTGTATGTCTGAGCAGGCTCCTTGAGTTATGTTTCTGTCTAGCACAAGACCCTTGCTTTTGTGTCTGTAAATGGTGGGGCCACGTCTTACTTCTGCCTAATGCCATTCTTGTGTCTTCCCTTAAGCCACTCTGCTGATGAAACAGGCCTGGCCACAGAACTCATCTTCCTGTGGCACTGAAGGCACCTTCCACCTCCCAGTGGACACCGGGACCGAGAACCGAACTTACCAAGCATCCTCTGCGGCTTTCAGTAAATACAGCCTGTCTCCTCCTTTCCTTGTTCCCCTTGGTCGGGACTGATTTGTTCATTAGGAAGAAAGGAAAGGGAATTTTTAAAATGACATTTTTAGTATAAACGCTTTTAAGAGGTTCTCCTACTCATGAAAAAAAAATTGGCCTTTGTCATTCAAGAAAGATGAACATCTTTGATTATGCCTTCAGCTTTAAGATACCCATAGAGGTGAGGGAGGAGCACTCCTGGGCCAAGAAGTTGAATTTGTGAAAGACTGTTACTTCATTTTAGGGGAACGGATCAAAGCACAGTTGAAGGCTTTGTGTGTGTCTTCCCATGCACAGGGTTTCTTGACCTTAGCACTCCTGGCATCTGGGACAGATGAATTCTTTCCTATGTATGGTAGGATGTTTAGCGGCAACGGTAGTGTCTCTGTGTTAGATGCCAGTAGCAAAGCACCATTGTCACTACCAAAAATGTCTCCAGATAGGGCTCAATATTCCTCTGGTGAAGAAAACTGTCCTCTGTATAAGAAACACTGCCCTACTTCATGTAAGCTACACTGTGGGAACACGGTATGACAGGGACAGACGCCAGCACACAGATTGGTCATGTTCAGCCTGAAGCTCAGTGAGGTGACTGATGTCACCTTTACAGCTAATTGGTAACACAAATGATTCCAATAAGGACCATCGTTTAGAAATGACTGAGTGGAAGAACTTGTGCCTGTGGTAACTTTTGGGCATGGGAATGGCTGGCTTTGGATGTGATGAGCGCTGGCTTCTGAGTTTATGCCAGCAGGAACTGAACACGCCCTTAGCGGGATGTTGTAGAAAAGTAACTGACTAGTGAGCTAGGAAAACTCATGGAATTAGTTTTCTTTTCTTTTAAATAGTCAGTGTCATCGCTTCTCAGCTGGCTGAGATCAAGTGTAAAATACCCCTGTTGGGGCTGGAGAGGTGGCTCAGCAGTTAAGAGCACTGGCTGCTCTTCTAGAGGTCCCAGGTTCAATTCCCAACACCCACATGGTAGCTCACCACCATCTGTAACTCCAGTTCGGGTAACCCAGTGCCCTCTTCTGGCCTCTTTGTGTATTTTAGGCACAAATATGGGGCCCATACATGCACATAGTCAAATTCATACACATTAAATAAGAACAAATCTTTAAAAATAAATAAACTATCCAATGTCGAGCCTGGCACATACCTGTAATCCTCCACTTGGAGGCAGAGGCAGATGGGTCTCTCAGTAAGATAAAAGCTAGCCTGGTCTACATAGTGATTTCTAGGCCAGCCAAGGCTACATGGTATAAGCCTTTAAAAAAACAAACAACAATAACAACAAAACCAATGTTATTTTCTCCCCCTTGTCACTGTCCTTACATGTCAACATGTAACTCAGCATGGTGTACCTTTCAAAATCAGCTCCTTGTTCAATCAAGATTATAGTCCTATAAAGTTTGGGTGGACTTTTATCCCACTTTGAAAGCTCAGAGTTTCAAAAGGCAATATACCCAACGCTGTATAACTAATATGGTAGCACAACTGGACAAAAATAACTTTCAAACTAGGATTCGATTTCTTATTCTTTGTCAAAAGACAGATGAAGTGGGTGTGGTAGCTCAGCACATGTGACCTGCGGGGCGTCTACCCACCAACCCCACAGCTCCCCAGAGCGCTCCTGAGTGTGAGCAGCAGGAAATATTAGATAGAAGGATTTAGAGTGTGGACATAAACAGATAGAAAATACAGAATAGCCTTGAGAGGGCCTGGAACCTAGTCCAACGGCCTGGACTGTCTCTGCCCCAGGGTATTTATAGAAACACCAAGGGGTGGAGCAAAAGACCTCCCCGCAGCACAGCCAAGTGCAGACCATCTCAGACACCTGCACTCAGGCCCGTGGTCCAATCATCCCCTCTACGCAGACCTGCTGGGTAAAGCCACCAGGAACCTGAAAATGGGCTCCCACAGTAATCCCAGCACTCAGGAGGCTGAAGCAAGAGGATCATAAGTTCAGGGCCAACCTAGGCCACAAAGCAAGTTTTAGGTCAATCTGAACTACATAGTGAGACTTGGTCACAAAAAGAGGAATGAGAGGAATGAGAGCCATGGGGAGTTTTTCAGGTAGAATTGAATGAACATATTTAAAGTTATAAATTGATATGTACATAGTCCACAAGTGTGGATGTAGGTGAGTAAAGGCACAGTTACTACAGTGGAGCAGAAGGAGGCCTGGTGTGGAAGATAGAGGACTCACGTCTTGATTCTATACAACTGTGGATAATTCATGGCTATGTTTTGGCCAGTAGTCTCTTGAACTGTAAAATGGTGGCCTTGGACTAGGTCCCCTTTAAAGTCCTTGCTAGCGATTGGACTCCTGATTCCCTTACTTTGGAGCTGTGCACCTATTTCCTTCTCAGAGTCCTCTCTCTCGCTGCCCTCATCAGTAAGCTAGCCTTCAAAGCTTTGCTCACATATCTCTAGGAATGAGGGCCTCATTCCTCCAGAGGTAGCTCTTCCTGCCGCCAGGCAGTTCTGAGTGTCAGAATCCTTACCTTCTGTGCTGAAGTCTTGTAAAAGTCCCATAGAAATGTCCAGCAGTCATATCCTGCCCTCCCCTCATAGACAGGCTGTCAAGTTTCTAGATAGGACTAAAATGTATCACTCTCTTTCAAGCAAGTAATATATAAATGGATGTAATTTTTTAAATGGATTTGGGATTGACTGACTCATGTAGGCTCACAAAAGCTCCTCCAAACCTTCAGATTTTGTTGCTTTTTAGTACCACAGTACATTCAGGGCACTTTGACAAATTCACACTAATGTAACCAATACTTGCTAAAGCCTGTTCATAATTAGGTATCCTCCTACCTTTTCAGTGCTTTAGTGTTTAGCCACCAACAAGGAGACTTAGAGGTCAAGACAAGATTCAGACATATAGTGCTGTTTTGTCCAGGCTTTGTCCCGATATATAAATCTGATGATCAATAAACCAATTAGTGTAAAAGATATCCTTGATGTGAAGATTAATGTCTTTGAAGGCAGTGGGGGCTGTACAACTGAAAAGGATTTACGCTGGTGAAGCAGGGTTGAAGAGCGGGCTATAGAGGCTTTATCTTGCTAATGTACACAGTTTCTTTATATGCTCCCGTTTGATAGAGCCTAAAACTATAGCTAGGAACCCGAGGCAAACAACAGGCAGGCGTCAGAAACAAAACCTCTTTATAAGGCAGGCTTGGCACTTCTGGTGGTAGAACCCCTTTGTCTCATGACACTGCCTTTAGTGAAACGGGATACAAAGGCCAGTACGCCAGATGCCCAAGATTGTGTTGCAGAGACATTTAACTCAGAGACAACTCTGCCCAGGGCGACATCAACTCTGACCTCTGGAAGCAGCTGTGCAATTTTGGGAAAATTGATGCATTTCTAAGTTACAGGTTCTTCCTCAGAATAGGAGAGGGTTGAGTGGAAGCCTCAAATGCCTTTAAGGTATAGCATCCCCAAGTTCCTATTCTGTGGCCTTCAGATTTTTGCATTCATTTCAAAGTAGCTAGCCCTCCAGGTAATTTAAATTTATTTGAGTAAAAATCCATGAGATGTTTTTGCAACAAACCCAACAGCTTCTTTTACTTAGATACACAAATATGATGTCTAAGCCCAGGCTATTAGCCCTAGATTTTCAGTGTTCCCCAGGGGTGTGGACAGGATGCAGATGATGTCCTCATAGAAGTCCTACTGAAATACTAAGGACTTAAAATGTTGGCTTCAGAAATGCCCTCTGAAATGATCTAGTCCAAATGAAGATACTCTCTGTACTGGAAGCTGACTCAAAGGATCTCAGGAAAAAGGCCTGAGCTTGGGTGGTTTCTGCAGCCTTAGGAAGATTCTCTGCCCCTGCTGGTAAGCTTGAGACACACTGTGGTTACAGCACGGGTGTGTGCAGTCGCTCTCCATGTAGCATCTCCCAGCTCTGCACTTCTGCTACCTACCTATCTCAAGCATCTGGACATGCAAAACAGACTATAACCAGCCTTTCTTTGGCTGCCATAGCTATTTAGATACTGATTTGTATTCTGAGTGTGTATGTCGTGTTTCATAACGTGAAGAGAAGGAAACATTCTCTGACAAGGTTATTCTTAGATGTGGAAACCAAATTCTCCCGCATTCTCCTAGAGCCTTTTGATTCTCTGTGGAGGGACAGCCTACTTTGTAATGTGGTTGCTTTTGTGGCTTAGATGAAGTGATGCATCTTCCCTGGGAAAACTAGAAATTCCAGAGCATGTTCTGCAGGCATATAAAAGAAAGCTGCCTGTATTGTGGGCTTGTTAAAGAATTATAAAATTTTACAATCTTGAAGCCCTGGAGTTTGTGTTCCAACTTGGAACAGACCATAGTCACAGTCTAGCTCTTGCTTTTGTGGTTTTTAAGTGCTCGTATGCCCAAGGAGAGGCAGCTTACTGCTGTCTTCTATGTAGTGTGAGAGAAAGTAATCGCAGTTCACATGGGCCGTCAGCCATTCCGTTCCCATGCTGCTTGTAACCACTGCTCTGTAGGTAGTGCATTTGGAGACAGGTGGCTTCTGATTCATAGTGTCCTACATAGAAAACATACTAAATTCCGGCAGGACGCTCCACATCTTTCTTTTGTCTTTTGTTTTTTGGTGGCTTTTTGTTTTTTATTTGCTGTACTGGAGATCAAACACATAGTTTTGCCAAGGTTCTGCCACTGAAGCTACATCCCCAGCACCCTCATATCTTGTTTTTCACCTTTAAATTAAGGGTCAGTAAAATTTCCTATAAAGAACCAAATAATAGATATTTTAGGTTTAAGGATCATATGGTCTCTGTAACTACCATTGTGGCAGGAACAAGTTGTGCAGCCTTGTGGTTGGTGCAAGCCTATGATCCTAGCTACTGGGGAGATTGGAGTAAGAAGATTGAAAGTATGAGGCAAGACTGAGTCACAAAGTGAGTTCAAGGCCAGCCTAAGCAATCTAATAAGGTCCTATCTCAAAATAAGATTAAAAAGAGGGCTAGGGGGGTGGTGGTGGCTGGAGAGATGGCTCAGAGGTTAAGAGCACTGCCTGTTCTTCCAGAGGTCCTGAGTTCAATTCCCAGCAACCACATGGTGGCTCACAACCATCTGTAATGAGATCTGGTGCCTTCTTCTGGCCTGCAGGCATACATGCAGACAGAACACTGTATACATAATAAATAAATTAAAAAAAAAAAAAAGGGCTGGGGATATAGTTCAGTGGTAGAATACATGTCTAGTATGTGGAAAACCCTAGGTACACACACATACATGAACACTTACACACATGTAAAACTGTAGTAAAATTTGAAAAGTCTTGTACATATCCTATCTTAGAAATTCACCATTTACACTATTATAAAAGACTTTATCCTTTCCCCTCCTAAAACTAAGGTCTAGAGATTTGGCATTATTTACCCAAGTTTGGCGGAAAGCCAGACCTAAGCCCACATCTCTTTTCTTTCAACAAAAGCCTGCTCCACCCTGCACCTGTGTGTGTGTGTGTGTGTGTGTGTGTGTGTGTGTGTGTGTGTGTGTGTGTGTGTGTGTGTGTAGAAAAAGGCTCTGTGGAGCTAACAGGGTCCTTGGTAAGTGTCTTATGGGTCAGAACTAAAGCCCAGAAAAGTCCAGCAATGACAGCCAGGGCAACTAGAGTAGAACCAAGGGGTAAATGCAACTTCTCCCCCACTAGGGCTCCAAAACTAAGGTCCCCACAGTAGAGGGTAGAGGCTTTAGGAGTTCCTGAAAGGATGTGGCCCCTTGTGTTCATCAGATTCCGCAGGGTAATTCCATGTGGTGAGTCTTAGGAACACAGTCTTGCTGACATCTGTGTCAAGTTACTCTCTGAACCTGAGATCTTACTCTTCAAGATTACTCAAAGGCAGCAGTTAACAGCCACTGTGAGTGGCTCCTGGCCTGACTTGTGAGCTCTGCTTCTGTTCATCCTTCTGAGATACAGACATGGGCTAGGTTTTAGGTCAATGTATGTCTTCCTGATTGCTAACTTCAGGTGTTTGAGGCAGAGGCGACCCTTCTCCAACCACAGGAAAGAAGGAAAAGGCCAGCTTTACAGAGCAAAGTGGTGTTTTGTTTGTTTGTTTGTTTTGTTTTGTTTTTATTTTTTAATGAGGTTTTTACCTTCAAACTTGTGAAGAGGAAGGGATTGTGACTGATGAAGCCCATTAGTGGGAGATAAGAGAAGAAAAAAAGAATGAAGCACCCAGGATCCACATGTGAGACCAGCTTGGGCTTCATGAGAACCCGACTGAAAAACAAAGGAGATAGGGGAGAATGGGGGAAGCAAACAGAAAAAGAGAAACTCAACAGCAGAAGGTATCCTGAGGTGCTAAGTGAGGAACCAGAATGAGAAAATATCAAAAGGAAAAGTTGAGGGGTGTCTGTCAGTGTATACCTGCCTTTCCACACAGGCAGCTCTGAACCCCAGGTTGTCTCTCAGCTGAAAGGGCCCCATAGAGATTGTTTGGTTCTAGCTTCTGTTTTGGATGAGAGCCCTGAAAGCCAGAGAAATAAAAGATGTCCAAATCATGCTTGCAGCCCTGTTCACCAGGACTGAGGAAGCTGCCTGGGGCCACAGCTCTGCGGGTGGAGCCCTGTTCTCTTGTCTGTCCTCATCTGTGTTTCCAGCTGGATTCAACCCAATCTTTTTTTTTTTTTTTTTTTTTGGTTTTTCGAGACAGGGTTTCTCTGTGTAGCTTTGCGCCTTTCCTGGGACTCACTTGGTAGCCCAGGCTGGCCTCGAACTCACAGAGATCCGCCTGGCTCTGCCTCCCGAGTGCTGGGATTAAAGGCGTGCGCCACCACCGCCCGGCTTCAACCCATTCTTGTTTGAGGAATTGTTACTGGGGACCTGCTGCCTTCAAGCAGTGCTGTTCTGCCAACTAACTAGAGGTCTCTTTTATTGCCTTGGTACAGGATATACTGCAGGGACACCATACAAGGTCCCACCGACCCAGAGTAATACTGCTCCACCCCCCTACTCCCCATCACCCAATCCCTATCAGACGGCCATGTATCCAATCAGAAGTGCCTACCCCCAGCAGAATCTGTATGCCCAGGTAGGTACAAATGGAGGACCTCTTCTGAGGAGCCTCCAGCAAGGATGGGGGGGCATGGGATGAGGAAGAGAAAAGAGAGCTCATGGGTCTGGCCAGCTACCTTCACTGTAGTGTCACTAAAGCAATATTCCTGCAAGACTGCCTGCTCTGCCTCACTCTCGAAGGGTGGAGCGTGACGTCATTTAGGTTAACAGAGCCCCAAATGTCGGAGGACCTTTAGAAATCATCTAGCTCAACTCCTTTGTTGAACAAGTGGAGAAGCTGAGGCTGCAGAGAAAAAGGGCTGGTCTAAGGTCACACAGTGAGTTGTTGCCTGGGCCAGGCTATGCTATCACTTGTTTGGATCTCCCCTCTTAATCTCACCCCTCCCTTTCCTTGATAAAATCTATGAGCCAAGTAAGAAAGAAAAAAATTATACAGTGTCTGCTACCAGTGCCCTCTGTGACCTGAGGTGAGTGATTGTTTAGTGTGCTTAGGGCCCCATTTGGAGTCTTCTGCTGGAGAATGTATGTAACTAACAGAAGGCAAGAGGGGAGGACTGCTTGGCACTCCAGCATGGCCGTGGCACATTCTTCTGAAGTGACAGTTCTGCATGAGGTGTAAGTGGTAAGGAAGGTACTTTGGAGTTTAAAAACCAGCTTTGTTGCTGGGCAGTGGTGGTGCATGCCTTTAATCCCAGCACTCAAGAGGCAGAGCCAGGCCAATCTCTGCGTTCGAGGCCAGCCTGGTCTACAGAGCTAGTTCCAGCACAGTTAGGACTACATAGAGAAACCCTGTCTCGGGGGAAAAACAAAACAAAGTCTAAAACTAGCTATGTTGGTGCTGAAGAGGTGGTTTGGTGGTTAAGAGCACTTGCCATTCTTGCAGAGGACCTGGGTTTGATTCCAGGCACCCACATGGCAACTCACAACCATCTATAACTCCAGTTCCAAGAGATACAATGCCTTCTTCTGGCATCCATGCAAGTGATACACAGACATACGTGCAAGCAAAACACACACACACACACACACACACACACACACACACACACACATTTAAACAACTAATAGAAAACGTTTTTCTAAACCAGCTATGTTGCAGAGTATACTACAAAACTGGGGCATGACAACATGTGCCTTTAATGTCAGTATTGGGAAGAAGTTCAAAGTCATTCTCAGCTGCATAGTGAGTTCAAGGCTAGTCTGCCTGGAAAATAAGTAAGTAAGTAAGTAAATAGAGAAACAGGAGACTTAAGTTTTTCTCAAGTATGGCATAGTATCTTAGCCTATGTTTTCTGACCTCTAAAGATTACAGTGAAGCTTTTGTTACTTACTATTAAAACCAGAGAATTTCTGGATTAATCTCAGAGGCTTCTATCTGCCCCCAGGGCTCAGGAGGCCCATGAAATGTAGCACCTGGGAAGAACCATTGAGCTGGGAAGGGGAACATCACTTTAGAACACTGTTTCCAGAATGCCTTGGGAAATGCTACCCAGTAATGACAGAATGGATATAAACCAACAACATTCACACCAATGTGTGAATGCCATTAATAAGCCTGTGTGGCAGTGTTTTGGTGTTCCCCATGCTAAAAAACTGACTGTGTTCCTTACTATTAAATTAGGGGCAGCTAGGGTAGTGCCTTGGAAATTTTTAAATGTTAAAGCCAAGGCTACAAGAGAAAAGCTCTTACTCACTATTCTCCATGGCCACTCCAGGCAGCAAGATGGAATGAGGAGGGCCTTATATTTCAGACTGAGCTAAGTCAGCACTGAACTGACCCCAGTTACAGAGTGAGACAAAGCAGAGCCTAGACTTGTGTCCCTAGGCCAGAGCTTCTCTGACCTGGTTGCCTAAAGCCTGGGGAAAGCAGCTCCCCACCCACCATCTCCTCTCCCTGTCCCTCCTGCTCTCCGAGAACCCATGTGACCTTAGCCTCTCTTCCCAGGGAGCCTACTACACACAGCCCGTGTATGCCGCCCAGCCCCATGTCATCCACCACACCACAGTTGTCCAGCCCAACAGCATCCCCTCTGCCATCTACCCAGCTCCTGTTGCTGCCCCCAGGACCAACGGTGTGGCCATGGGCATGGTGGCAGGAACCACCATGGCAATGTCAGCAGGTAAGGGCAACGTCTGCCTAAGCTTCCTTTGCTGTCTTTCAGGAATTCTTCACATTGGAAAACAGTCATGGAACTGGCTGCAGCCCAGCATGAGAAATCATGTGCCAGGGCAGGGGGCTTTCTGGGAAGCCAAGGAGGGAACCCTCTAAACTTTAGACATTCAGGGTCTAAATTATTCGAAGGGATAAGGAAGATTGCACCCAAGATGGGCCTATTGAGCAAGGCCTTGGGTAATTGGTGAATGGAGGCCAAGCAGAGAGGTGCAAGTGGGGAGGGAAGTACAAGCAGAAGGATCGATCAGTGTGGTCGGTCCATTCACAGGATGGAAAAGGTGTAAGGCATGGCAGAAGTGGGGGTTGAGAGTGAAGGGTGGCTGGCACCACTGGTGAGGACACGATTGTGGAAAAGCTTGAATGCTTTTGAGTGAGGGAGCTACCAGAGCTACCAGAGCTTGCGATAGGGGAGAAGTGGGGTAGGGTTTGAAGTGGCTATAGCTGGATCAGGAGAGATTAGGGGAGAGATGTTAACAGTAGGCCTCCAGTGGCAACAGGGAGCCCAGGGAAGAGCACACAGGCACACTGTTAATTAGCAGGCAGGAGCATAAGGACCATTCCCATAATTCATTGTAAGAGCTGAGAGAAACAGGAGTCCCTGGTAGAAGACCTGCCCTTAAGGAACCTTGGGGATAAAGGTGGGACGTGTAGCCTTAGAAACATTGGCACTCCCATGTAGGGCATGAAGACCAGAGGGTTGTGACTACCTTACAGAACCCAAGTTTAAAGAACTAGCTAAGTTGCCATCTGAAGGAAGAGGGTAGCATGGTTGCTCGGTACACAAGCTACTAGGTACTTGATCGGTGCCAGCCTATTGTTAAGGTCCTGGAAGGAAAGATCCTTAAGGCAGAACAGAGCCTTGCCCTTAAGTACCTAGGTGAGTATACGTAGAAGAGAGAACCAGGAAAGATAACAGTTCCTACTCAGTATGTGTGCAGTAAGAGAAGCATGCAAATAAAAGGGGATTCCCTAAGAATGATGATTCTGTCTTCCAGCATCCCAAAAGACCCCTCACCCTAAGGACGGGAAGCCTGGTAAGGTGGAAAAAGGACAGTGCTCACCAGGCAGTCCAGGGTGATGGGGACATGGACAGGAAGAAGAGCCATGTAAAAGACTGTTTTCCTCCTCTCCATCCCCGTACCCAGGCTATGGGTTAAAGGTTACTCAGGTTTCCTCTTCTCTCTCGATGCCCAGGTACCCTGCTGACCACACCCCAGCACACTGCAATTGGGGCACACCCTGTCTCCATGCCCACGTACAGGGCCCAAGGAACCCCTGCGTACAGCTATGTGCCCCCGCACTGGTAAAGCCTGCAGCCCATCCAAGTGAGTAGGGCCAGGGAGAAGGGAGAAGGGAGGGGACACTTAAGGAGCTGCCTTAAAGTCCTGGCTTGAGTCTGGAGCACAGGTGTCACAGAAGCAGGCAGCAGCCATCACCTGTTACCTGCTCCAGCTTCTTTAATGTCCCTCTTCATTTTAGCTCTCACTTTACAATTGCTGCACTCCTCGTGGTCGCTCCGATCTTCAGCTCTATTTTTTAGATAAATACACAGTTCAAAATCACTCAGCCAATTAAAATGGAGCTGGGGCTTTAATTCTTGTCCTCTATTATTGAATTCTGCGCTCTTTATGGTCTTCAGATGTCTTTTAACTAGAGGTTCAGTTCTTCAAATGAAGTCTTGCCTAAAGCATCTATCAGCTCTGATTGCAGCCAAGTAGAGACCCTGACCCCAGCTCCCTACACTGTCCTCAGCAGATCAACACAATTTCCATGGACAGAGAGCCTGCTGCTCCCTGAGAAGAATGGAGGGCTCCACTCAGGTCTCCCGGGCTGCGGGAGGGGGTCCGGAAATCTCTCAAGTGGTCTGTGGAGTGTCACTCTCTCACGGTGTCCCTTCCTCCCCCAGATCTGGAGTCACATTGTATGCAACTACTCAAGTCTTACACCGGTGCTGGAGCAGTCCCCTAGCAGCACCGCCTCTATTTGCAAGAAGAGACAACGGAAGTGCAAGGGTCACTTTATGCATCTTTAATGATTTTGATTTTGATTTTTGGTTTTTGTAAAAGCTGCTTTTTCTAATCTCCTAGGAGCCTCCCCCTCGTGCCTCCCTCTTAGCCACTGCCCTTCTGGCTCTAGCCCCTCTTCCTACCTGACCAGGCCCAGTCCTCTCTGCACTTCCTTCCTGCCCTAAGCATCCTGTCCCTAGGATCCCAGTCTAGTAGCAAGCAGAGAGTGAGGTTTATTGCGATGGTTCATGTAAAGACTAGATTTCATCTAGAGAGCATAACAGATGTGGCCCTCAGGTCTGGGGTAGGAACTCGGGGCTGTTGAGAAGGCCACATCTCTGTCAGATCGTCATTTTGCTGAAGCAAGATTCGTTCAAATACGAAGAAATATCTTCCAAGAACCATCGCAACAGACCAAGAACAAACCCACCTGGTTATGTAGGAATGTTATCAGCAGCTTCATGTCCCAGGCTCAGAACCTGGGAAAGCAGAGAATCTGGGGAAGGGTAGAGGGAGGGAGTGTGAAGAAAGGGCAAGAGGGTGCTCAGTCCGGTTTGAAAGGTCTCAGGCCATGTTGCTGGGCCTGGACCTTCTGATTTGCACAGTCATGTTAACTGACCTAGCACTTCCTTCAGAGATGCTTTGCCCTTAGACCTGCCAAACCATTGCATGGTGGTGGGATCCCAGCATCCAGAGGCTTCGGAAGGCCAGGTGCCTGCGTAATCTCACCCTCAGCTCGAGTCTCATGGACCCAACTCTGAGGAGCTTCCTCCTCAGAGAGTGGAACTTGTGGCATTTTTCTCCCTTGCCCTTCTGCCCTTCCCCATGCCGGGGCGCACGTGTCTGTCTGTGGGGCTGACAGGCAGGCCAAGCTCTTGGTTACCTTGTGCCATTTCACGGCCAAAGTGAAGGAACCACATTCCAGGTGGGAGCTGGCGGTTCTGAAGGTCAGGATAGTGAAGGAAAAACAATAGCAATAATCATTTCATACTCATGGAACTGAAGGGACCTTAGCATTCATCATCTCATCCATTCCCCTATTTGACAGATGAGGAAACTGAGGCCCAGAGAAGCAGAAAGGACTTCTCTGAACCTCATAGTAAATTAGCGTTAAATGCAGCCTTCCTACCTACTGGCTTTTTGCCTACAAAAAATTAGCAAGGGATGGATTGTCTTGGCTTTGTAAAAATTAAGTCAGCAGTGCCCACATCTGGTGAGCTCTGGAATGACCTCTGGGCTTCTTTCTGCTATTTTCCCTCACGGACTCCAAAGGTGGGGGTTGAAGACTAGGCAGAGGCCACACAGGGCAGATGGCAGGAACAGAAATTGCATTTGGAAAGCCTGTGAAGACATCTGGAGTGTTCATCCTCTAAGAAAAGGCGCGGGTGAGCTGGCTGGAAGAGACTTTGCACTTAGAAAAGCAGCCCTCTATCCCAAGAAGAGAGGGAGAATGGGAGCCACCAAAAGAGGAGGCCAAGGAGGAGGCCAAGCAGATAAAACCACATCTGGGAGAAGAAGAGGGACCCCTGGGACAGGGAAGTCCTTCCTAGACTCAGCTAGGAAATGGATTGGCCGCCACCTTCCTGTGCCTGCCTAGCACAGCCAATAGCCTCACTGGGTGGAACAGGAATATCTTACTGTGTAAAATTGGATCACTGGTAACATTTGAGACTCGAACTACTTTCATTTTAAATTCATGTGAACTTGGACATCACCTTCCTCCTATTCCCCCTAAGGGAAGAAAAAAATGGAAGCCCTTGAGCTGGAATGACCTCAGAAACAGTCAGACTGTTCCCGGGAGGTCAGAGTCCATCAGCATCAACAAGGTTTTCTTTCCAAACAAAGGTTTGCAGTGTTGGTCTGCTTTTTACAATGCCTCCTCCTACCCTCTTTGGTTTTGTAGAGGTGGATGAAGGTTGCTGTAGATTATGTCTTATATGTCTGAAAATGCCAAAATAGTAATGGCGGTAATAATTACAGGATACCCCTGTACGTGTCAAAGCACTTCACAGCCTTGGACTGGCCCTGGGAGTAAGCAGCAGGGCCAGCTATACTACCCACTCGACAAAAGTGGAAACAGATTCTAGAAGGAAATGAAATGGCCCCAAATGAGCTGTATGCTGGAATCCTGGCAGGCTTCCTAGACCCTGTGGCCTTCAGGTGACCTGGTAAAAGAGACAAAAAGAGACCTAGGAATGACTTCTTAATGTTTGTTCTTTCCACACCAGTAAGTAAATGCTGTTTGTGCCCCTCATAGTTCATGTGGTTTATGCCTGAGATGAAGGCATGATGCCTGCTATTTAATTCATAGAGAATCCAAGGCTCAGAAAAGGACAGGGACTTTCTGGTAAGGAATCCCCTGCTGGCTCTAGTCTCTCTAAGCCTGATCCACACACAGGCTCATGTTCTGAAGCATCTGTGCTCTGTACCCCATCTTAGAACTAATCTGTGATTCAAGATCAGAAAGGCCCCAAGGTGAAAATCAAGTGTTGACATGCTGTAGTCTAGAGAACCAGACCAATTAACCTTTTTTCAGTAAGAGCACAAGAGCCCCAGTTCAGTTCTGGCAAGCTTGGGGAGTCATAGCAAAGGGACTGAGCCCCAGAGTGCAGTGTGTGTGTGCCTTGGGTTAGATGAACACCGACAGCTCTGGCAGGGTCATAGGTACCTAGCAGGGGTACCCTAGGTATCATCTAAAGAAAGATTCTGGATGGCCCAGTGGTCAAGATAGATGAGGCCAGAGCTGGAAAGGGCCTCTCACTGTAGGACAAGGGATGTGCACATGACACCATGAGCTGCCACACTGGCATCACGACACACACACAAGTGGTGGAGGTGGCTTTGTTCACCAGCCCCCCTTTGCACCATGTGACCATCTTCAGCAGCCCTGGGCCAGGAGCTGGACTACTCCCAGTGAGTAAAAGCCTGAAAGTCTCTTGCCATGCTTTCAAAACAAAAAAGCAAAAAACAACTGTATTTCTTCCTATGAGATGAAACACTTTTTCCTTCTTGTTACCCTGACAATGACTCTGAAGTGCATACCCCCTTCCCTGAGTATTCACCAGGGACACACACATCTATCGGTCCAAACTTCTTTTTGTATGTAAAGTACTTTGACACTGATTGCCAAAACCAATACTTTAAAGATAGGGGGTGAGGTCATGATGCTCTGAAGGGGTAAGAGACTTGTCCAGGGACACACAGCTCATGAGCGAAAGAGCCAAGATTTGAATTCCTGATCCTCTGCTCTTCTGCTGCCCCACACAAGGAAGAGTTTGTAGAGACTTGGGGGAGCTCCTGTCTGTTAGCTGGGCAGATTTTTGAGAATTTCTGCTTTAGGCCGAGACTTATAATAGGCCCTGGGGGTAAATCCAGCTGAGAAGTTGCCACAAAAGACCTAACTCGGAACACCCAAGGTGACACTGTCCAGTCCTGAAGATGATTGAGGACAGTCCCAGGCATCTTTGAGCAGGGAGTCTTGCTTCTTGGAAGCCTGCACACTCTGGCTCTCTGACTCTCTGACTCCTGTGCAGGTCCAACAAGGCACTTCAAGGGGACATGGCATAAGCCTGAACTTCTGAAAGCATGTCTGGACTGGAGTCCTCAGGCTTGCTTGTTCACCAGTGAGAACCAGGTCCTAGAGAGACTAACTAGGCTCCGTGCATCCCAGTGCTTTCTGGCCATCTAGATGGTTCCATGTTTGAGACCTAGAGGTTTCTTTGGAAGGCTTGATGCTCTGTCCTGAATAGCCTTCAGAAATGAGTCATGGGAGCATAAAAGTAGGACAGGTCCCTTGGTCACCAGTTCTGGCATCCTGACACATCAAACAAGGCATGCTGACCCGGCTTAGTTCCCTGCATATCAAATATCTTGGCCCTGCTATGGGCTCTGTGGTCTTCACAGCATTCTGGCTGAATCAGTCATCATCCATGTGTGACTCATGTTCAGGGAGCTCTGCCTTTCCATCTTGTGTCAACCATAGCACTGCTGAGTGTGGCCCCTAGTATCTTGTTAAGCCTGGGAACCTAGAGAAGGGCAGCCAGGGTAGGAGTGGACAAAGGGAAGCAAATCAGTGAAAGAAACTCAGCCAGGCTCACTGGTCAGATGACACCTGAGTCTCTAGACAGACTTCTATGGACATGCCAGGCTGGCAGCAGGCTTGTCCTTTCCCTACGCCTGTTCCTTCTCCTAGAAAAATCTTGTGAAATTCAGCATCATGTGGTTCCACAACTTAGCCTTTGAAATTCCCAGCAGGCCAGCTTCAACATTCCATGGCCAGACTTGCCTGAGCCAGACTTGGGTCCCATTCTCTCAGTTTCTCCTGCAGGTATTTCCTAATTTACAAACCGTTGATGCCAGTCAGAACGCCAGCCAGGAACACAGGAGTTGAAACTGGTTGCCACAGAGCCAAAGATCACCTGCTTCACTGTGGCTGCTACATCCATAGTCCTTAGGTATCCCTGCTGTGGCAGTGTGTCCTTTATCCATTCCAGCCCGAGGGACCATTTCTTTCCCAAGAGAACAGATACAACAGCTTTACAGATAGCAGCAGCCCACAGGAATCAAATGAGTGAAATCTGCTTTGGGCTTAACCCTAGCATCTATCCTTGACCCCAGCTCAGCCATCCTGGCTCCAGCCATCTTCCTCATGCATGAAAGTCAGACTAAGTAAAGAGTAGGACTGGCCCAGAGACCTCATGTCAGCCAGATCGACTGGATCTGTCTTGTGAACCATTCTCCTTACAAGGTGAGGCAAGGCTAGGCCTCCTGCACCTTGGAGTTGTCTTTGATCTTTGAAGGCCCAGGGCCTGTTCCCCTTCCTGTCTTCAAGGCATCTGCATCCCTCTTTCATATCACATGACAGAGAAGCTTGTTCTCATGGCATGTAACATCCCTGTGAAGAGAGCGTTGTGTATGATTTTGTATTTTTTAATTCATTTTAACCTACAGGTTGGAATCTAATTTTTAAATTTTATTGGAACTCACATTTTAAAAACAAATAAAAACATTGAAAAATAATAATTATAATAATAAACCTTTGACCGGTGTCTTCCAAGTAGTTTGATCAAATAATTTATAGGTGTTTTCAAAACACAGCCTGGAGTGTAAAGCTTGGAAAGCCCTGTGGCCACACTTGTGTGTATGAAGTGTAAATCTGGCTTTGTTGTTTTGGATTCCTTTGGGTTTTGTTTTGTTTTGAAGATCAGATAGTGATCACTCTGAAAGGTTGAAGCCAAGAGTTTGTAACTATGATATTTACTGTAAGCTGTAGAACATTCAACAACTATTAAAGTTTCCCAAAAAAGCCAACAAGTGGTTCTTGGGTGAGGGAGGCACAGACCACCTGGGGCCAGTGAGTCCCTGCGCTTCTCCCCCAGGCAATTCTAAGCTGCTTTTTACCTGTTCTGAGTACACACCTGGAACCCCAGTGCTTTGGAGGCTGGGGTAGGATTGCAACCTGAAGCCTCTGTCTCAAAGCCTGGGGGGGGGGGGACGCTCAGTGGTTAGAGCACTGGCTGCTCTCACAGAAGGCCAGGGTTTGGGTTCCAGGACCCACAGTGGTTCACAACCATCCTCCTCTTCCAGAGGATCCTATGACACCTGGTTTCTAGAGCACCAGACACACACATGGTGCACTTACATGCAGGCATTCATATACATAAAATTCATCCACATGAGAAAGAAAGACTGTCTCAAAAAAGAAAACAATCCTGTGTCTTGGGACTATGGGATCAGGCACAAAGTATGGGAGCTGTGGAGCATCAGGTTCGGCACTCAGACCAGATAATGTGATAGAATCCCGGGGAAGTTGTTAAAGAGCTGACATCTGTTAAGGGTGGAGTATAGCTCAGTGTAGTGTACTTGTGTGGGAGAGACCCCCCCTCCCCCAGCACGAAGAAGGAAGAAGAGGAAGAACTAGTGACAGACCCGGCCATTTGTTGAGTCTCGTGGCTGGTGCTTGCTGCCCACTTCTGCTTGTTCATCTCTGAGTTTCTCATGCTTTGCTGCAAGAGAAGCTCTGCTCTTTGTCCCATATGGGTGGGCTGGGAGAGCAGCTAAGGAGGGAAGGGTCTTGGCTAAGGTAAAGTTGGAATTCACACTTGGTCTGGTTTCAGGTACTACAGTCCATGTTCTGCTCATCTCAGAGGATATGTTGTTATTGTTTCTGGAAATAGGGTTTCTCTGTGTAGCTTTGGAGCCTGTCCTGAACTCACTCTGTAGACCAGCCTGGCCTTGAACTCACAGAGATCCACCTGCCTGCCTTTGCCTGCTGAGTGCTGGGATTAAAGGCATGCACTGCCACCACCCAGTCTAGAAGATGGTTTCTTAAAGGATGGACCCCTCTTTTCTCAAAGCAGTGAGGGAGTGTCAGGAAGCCAAGGGGAGCTTGAAGTTCCACAGAGCCTCATACAAGCAGTCATTAAGGATTTTTTTTATCCCCTGTACATTTGAATCTCCTTCCCTTCAGGGTGACATTACTGCTAATGCTGCTCAGGCTTTGTCTTAAGTTACTTTTCTGTTGTGAAGGCACCATAACCAAAGCAACTTACAGAAGAGTTTATTGGGGCTTAAAGTTTCAGAGGGTGAATCCAGAATGGGGAGCATGGAGCTGGAGCAGTAGTTGAGAGCTCACATCGTTATCCATAAGTAGGAGGCGGGCAGAAAGAAAGAACGAGAACGCACAAACACATAAGAGGAGCTACCTAGGAATGGCATGGGCTTTTGTAACCTCAAAGCCTGTCCCCAGTGATGCATTTCCTCCAACAAAGTCACACCTCCTAATCCTCAAGCAGTTGCACCAGCTGGGGACCAAGCATTCAAATACATGAGCCATATGGGGCCATTCTCATTTAAACCACAATAGGTTGTCTTGGCCATCTAACCACTTTTCTCTCAGGGCCTGGCCTTGACAGTTCATGTTCCACAGCTAATAGGACAAAGACTCAACATGTTCAACTGTAGGAAAAACTGGCCCAAAGTGGAGTGAAGCCAGGTGTGTGCCACTGTGTTTACATTGCAGAAGGTTCAATAACATTTAAAGACCTTCCAAGGGCTGGAGGTACAGCACCAAGACAGGGCCTGCCTTGCTTGGGTAAGGCTGAGTTCCATCCCAACTATGCAAGAACCAGTAAAACCCTCCATGGGGTGGTGCTAGGCCTACTGGGCCAGTAGACATACCTTGGCCCATGCTAGAGTGGGAACTGGAAATTGGTACACCCTCCACCAATTGGTACACCTCTCACTCTGCCTCATGATATCCTCCCAACCTTCCATTCTGTCCATGATCCATCATGGACCTGGTGAAGGGAGGAGAGGGCAGAGAGCTAGAGGTGGGACCCCAATGCCTACTCTTCCCTCCAGCTCCCACCTCTACTCATGGAGGGGGCTGCAGGGATTTGTACAAAAGTTTCCAAGAGTAAGTGGGGCTGTGGAGACCAAGAATGTCACATCTGCATCACCATCATCTCTCACCACTTTGTCCTGATGTTGGGAAACTATGACACAAGAAGCAAATGAGGAAACAAGCCATTCTTTGAGCAAGCAGGAGCAAGGTAGAGTACTGCTAATAGTGACGGGGCGTCCTTACCCACCTGGAAGCCTGGACATGTTCTTTCCACCCTGACTGGGCTGGTATCTGAGTGTTTCTCTAATCTAGCCGTTCCAGGGAATGGATGGGGTCCCACCTCCTGCCTTACCCTCCAGGAAACACTCTTATCCTCATACACAGACCCAAGTGGGCTGTGTCATCTAAATCCTAGATAAGTGGGGTGCATGAGTTGGCTGGCTGAAGGGACAGGCAAATTTGAGAAGCCAAACCCTGAGATAGAGCAAATGGATGTCAAGCGCGCCCTGCAGCCATAGGGGCCATTTCCTTGAATACAGTGAGGGAGACTGCCCACGCCCAGTTCACAGAGTCCCACAGAGGACCATGTACCCGAAGGATGTAGGGAGGAGCAGGGATAGGTGGACACTCAAAACCTGTGCCCATCCTGTCAAAGGTCGCTTTTCTTTCTTTTTTCCCTCCATTCCTGCCACTGCTAGGCCAGCCACCTACCTTGGTTTCTGCCCAGAAAGCTTCTGTCCTCAATGAAGCCAGGCTTTCTCAAGTCTTTAGACCAGGTTTCCACACCTCACCAGTTCTACCAGTTTCTAGTCCTTCAGCCTCCATGGGACAGCCAGTATTTGCCTGTTACTCTCTCTACCCCCCCCTTTTTGTTTTATTTGTTTTTCGAGACAGGGTTTCTCTGTGTAGCCTTGGCTGTCCTGGAATTCACTCTGTAGACCAGGCTGGCCTTGAACTCACAGAGATCCTCCTGCCTCTGCCTCCCGAGTGCTGGGATTAAAGGTGTGCACCACCACCGCCCAGCACTCTCTCCCATGTTAAACAGTATACCACACATTAACAAAACCCTAACTTAAGGTCCCACCAGTCATGGTGGCTTTGGTATGGGATGACGCCCCTTGATTTACCTGGTATGGGCTCAGCTCTCACCACACCGCTTAGGAAACTCACCAAGGCCCTGTCCACCACTTCCCCCACCCCCAGGGCACATGACAGCTTCCTGGCCTCTCAGCCAACTTTCCCTGAAATCTACACCCTTTCTTGGCCACCAGGATCTGGATGGCTTTTTTTTTTTTAATTTTGTTTAACTTTATGTGCATTGATGTAAAGGTGTGAGACCCCCTGGAACTAGAGTTACAGACAGGTGTGAGCTGCCATGTGGGTGCTGGGAATTGAACCCAGGTCCTCTGGAAGAGCAGTCAGTGCTCTTAACCACTGAGCCATACCTCCACCCCCTGATGGCTTTCTTATTGCCAGGCCCTAGGGTCTGCCCTGAGACCTTTTTCTAGAAATGGCCCCTCCCTGCCCGTTGGCTGCATGCCCACCTGAATGTTTGTGAGCTGTTCCTATCACCCAGATCTGTCTCCCCAGAGCTCCAGGGCTTCATATCAAAACACCTTGGACACGACTAGGAGCTAATCCCCTGCCTCACATCCCATAAGGAGTCCCAGCAGGTCTGCCCTAGGAATCTCTTGGGTTCTTCTCTTTCTCCTCACCTGTTACCCAGAAGCTCCAACAGCTTCCTGCTCCAGGAGCGCCTGCGCTCTACATGGTGACCAGGAGGACCGAGGCTCTGCCTCGTCCTAACTGCTGTGGCGAAGCCTCCAGCCCTTCCCACCTGGTGTCTGGCCTCTGCACATGCTGCTTCCCACTTCCTGGAACACATCCCCCTCCCACACTGAGCTTCTGCATGGCTGCTGCTTCCTGGAGAGCTCACCACTCACCACATAGCTCTCGTGCCCTTGAAATATATTAGTTCATGTCAAGATATGTAAAATACATAAGACTAAACTCAAACAAAAAAGCTCGTTCATCATTTTCATAATTATTTTATATTGCAATGAAAACATTCTGGATATACTGGGTTAAAATATTAAAATTAAGTTTACCTTTTTAAAAAAACTTTTTGGAATGATTATTAGAACACTTTCAGCCACACACACGGCTCAGTCTGTATTTCTATTGGGAAGCCTGGCCTCTGGGGACCTTGGTGAGAATGAAGCCACCGCTACCTGTTGCCCTGGCTTCCTGCTGATGAGGAAGGACGCTATGGAGCACACTGGGCAAGCCCCTAGAAGCGTGAGGTGAGCAAACAGGTTTCCAGGGTGGGAACAGGAAAGGAAGCGCCTCATGACACCACTTTCCACCTTTTATTACTCAAGGGTGTGGGGCTGGAGATGTAGGGACAGGGCAACGGCAGGTTTCAATAAATAAGAAGTGGGATGGTCAGTGGGCCCTGCGCCTGCGCGGCCCACATAAATAATCAGGTCCTGAGCCAGAGCGGAGACCAAGACGGGCTGGATCGGCAGTCACGCCTGCTACCCGCAGACACTACCACAGGAGCGTGGAAACCACAGACCAGAGGCACTCTAGCCCGACATTCTCCACTCCCCGCAGTTTGAAGGCGGCAGGATGGCCCGGGGCTCTGCAGCAGAGCCTTGTACAAGTCAGGTCATTTCTCAGTTTCATTACAAATAGCAGGGTAGGGGCAGGCACATGCATAAGCCCCTTGTGTAGGCATTGCCATAATAGTCCCATGAGAGCCTTGAAGGCCAAGGCCCAGAAGCAGCAAAAACAGGCCAGATAAAGCTATTAATGGGAGGGTAGCAAAGTCAAGCTCCCCCCAACAGGACTCAGCCCAGAACCGGCAAAGAGCTGAAAAGGTCCTGGGAACTGAGCTCTCCTCCCCCATTTCACAGTCAGAAAAGCTGGAACCCAGGTACTCTGCCACCAGTCCAGGGCTCTTGGCTACCCCTCCCCTTTGAAGGGCCTGCCAGAAGAGAGGGAGGCACGGCCAGGGCCCAGGGTGTGGGAAGAGTGGCTAGTTCCCAAGGCACAAGCTGGGGACCGACCGGGGACCGACACCACTCCTCCACCAACCCAGACTCCTAGGGGACAGAGGGCTCCTATGATGTGTTCAGGACAGGCACAGGGTTAGGGCACCCTTCAGGGAAGTAACTGGGGCTGCAGGGATGGGGTGGGCTCTTGATCTCCTGCTCACGTGCTGTGCCGCAGGCTGCCTCCTCAATGGGGCGGGCGATCCCACTCCAGGCCTTGGCCTTTGCTGTTTTGTCTGCTAGGCCTTTGCATCTCGGTCCTCAGTCCCAGCTGTAGCTCTCCCTCCTGCAGGAAGCCTTCAGAACCTCCCAGGGCAGGGCAGAACGTAATTCTAGACAGCCCATCAGATGACCAGGTTGCTTTCACTTAGCCGGACCACATAGCGGTTCTCCTGGGAATCAGGATTGAGGGGTCAGAGCTGAGTCAAGAGGCCATTTGGGCTTCAGAAAAGTGGCATCTACCCAGAGCTCCCCATATTGCCTCCTCGGGCCTTTGTTCTGTCAGGGTTGACCCAGAAAACTTCCCCCCAGCTCTCACCTCGGCCTTGTTCTCTGTTGGGGGCTTCAACCACTTAGTATGGCCTCCACCACTTCCCAGCAGTGCCCGCTGCTCAGGGGGAAGACCAGGCTGTGGGGAGTCAGGAAGATCACCCCCCGAAGGCCCAGCCTCCGTGATAGTCTTCACCTCCGATGACAATGAACTGGTCCGCTGCTCAGGAATGCGAGCCACACGGAACCTGTGGGGAGAGGTGGTACCAACATCCCATGTCAGAGAGGGATCCTAGGACAGAGAAGACACCTGCTGGGTCACACGCAGTTTTCAAGGTCACAGACTGAGTCTGTTATGCCGCACAAGAGCCCTTCCTAGCTCCCCAGAGACAAGGCTGTTTGTGCCCGGCTCCCAGCAACCCCACATCTTGTTAGAGGTAGACAGACCCTTGGCCTAAGAAGTCCCAGGTATGGTAACACCAAGACCATGCCTCAGGGACCTGATAGTTCCATGTGAGATAGCGTAGCTGGGAAATGATGGCTTTTTTGGCCACCTACATTACACAGAGAGGCCCAGGAAAGGCTAGTCAGCACTAAGTTGACCATGGACCTGCCTGTCTCCAGGATGTCAAGTTATTCCCCGACCCGGCTACGTCTGTGCCCACCTTACCTGCCCACAGACAAGATGGTGATCTCACCCTGACGTCCTGTCTTGGCACTAGCCTTGGGGGCCCTGGATGGGTTGGGCAGGAGGGTAGGAGCAGGAGTGCTGGCCGCTGCTGCCTCAGGAGACAGCAGCACCTCTGGCCACTTCTTCTGGCTACAACGGGAGCAGCAGGAGCCAGAGAGTGAGGCCAGGCCCTGCACAGTGTGGAGGTGATGGCGATGTGGGCAGATGTGTGGCATGCTAGGGGAGGCTGGCAGCAGCCTGCAGGAAGAGAAGTAGAAATGATCACTGGGGCAAGCCAGGAAAGGAGACTCCATCAAGTAAAGGGACACAGATGACGTAAAAGGGAACAGACCCAGGCGGGGATCCCCAGGAGGCAAGCCGATTATCTGAAGGCCCCACCCCTCACCTGGGTACAGGTCTGTGGCTCGTCTGTACCAGCTGTTTGCTGTGATATTCTTTCAACAACTCCTCCAGGGCCGCTGCATTCTCTGTGGGCAGGAGGAGTCAGAACCCAGCTCCAAAGTGAAGGAGCACCCCACTCCATAACTCAGCAGACAGCCCCTGCCCACTCCCACATCCCTGTCCTGGGCCTGAACTATGAGCCCTTCCTCCATCCCTCACCAGTCAAGAGGCAAAAGCACCCAGCACCCAGGGTCAGAGTCCCAGTCAGGCTGAGGCTTTGGTGTGGGGAGGCAGAGCTAGGCAGGACTTTTCCCAAGCATCATCTAAGGCTCCCGGAGGAGACCCTCCACTCCCAGGCATGGGGTGAAACAGGAAGACACTCTCCTCACCTTTCTTCTCTGTGATCAGGCGCACCAGGACTCCAATGGTGTCCTCGTTGGCATCCTCTGTCCTATAGGCAGGATTGATCCCTGGAGAAAAGAAAAGGAATTCTACAATTCCCAAGCTACACCAGGATCTGCTGGCAGAGGGCGCTACAGACCGTGCTCAGAGTTGCAGCAGCGCCTACTGTGGCGTTCAGGTGACAAGACCCACAGGCCCATCACCTAGACTTAAAGAAGTATGCTGTCATCTTTATTACCTAGCACCAGCAGCTCCAAGTGCTCGGCGGTCTCAGGACCATCTGAAAACCCCAGTCCTGCACACTGAACCAGCCTCTTCTGGGTGGGCGCTGTTCTGTTCTTGGCCTTGAGGGCTCTCCTTGCTTAGACCTCCCAACACCTTTCTAGGCCCATTACCTCTCTGCACCCCATCCTCTCCATGGAACTACTTAACAGCTCTGGGCTTAAACTCAAGGGTGTGAGAATGGGCCGCTGGGATGGGTCCTGAGCCAGCAGCAATGTTCTAAGATTTGTACCCAGGCAGCAGCCAACAGTTCATCACTAGGCTAGCAGAAAAGCGGTCCTACATCAAATGGCCCTGACTTGGAGCTGGAGAGGTGGTTCAGTGGTTAAGAGTACTTGTTCTCCCAGAGGAGAGAATTCTGTTCTCAGTTCCCACATGGTGATTTAAAACAGTCCGGCTCCAGTTCCAGGGGATCTTATACTGTCATCTGGCCTCCCTGGGCACCAGGTACACCCTCGCTGCATACGTATATATGCAGGCAAAACACACACACACATAAAATTAATTAAAAATTAAAATAATAAAATATTCAAACATAATTTACAAATGATGCTGACTTACTACCCTCCTGTCTACTCCTTTTATAATTCAGTTAGGGGCTGGAAGGGACTCTGGAAAGCTGGCGTAGGAGATGTTGTGTCAGGTGACTTGACCAGAAGGCTCCTGAGGGCCCAGAGAAGTGCATTTGCCCACAAGGTCTCTACCCTTCAGGAGGCATTGGTCAGCAGGAGAAGCAGTGGGCCCAAGGCCTTCTCCGCCTCCTCCTTCCAGAACTTGTATCTCAAACCACAGTGGAGCTGAAACCTGAAACCTGCACAGCGCCTGCCTGGATGCTGGCCCTGCCAGCCCTCCTGATGCAAGGCATTCTCCTGCTCCACACCAGAGGCCAGGGGTTATTGTGAACCAGACAGCTGGAGCCTTCTGCCCCTGTAGAGTCCCAACCCTACGGTGGAGCAGGGCCTCACCCAGGGCGGCAATCTCACCAGTGCCACTGGCCCAGCTTACTGCTTTACTTCTGCCTGTTGCCAGAGCTCGGCCCCTTACCATCCTCCACATTGGTCTGCTCTGTTCCCACCAGGGCTGCGGCGGCACAACACACACACACACACACACACACACACACACACACACACACACACACACACACACACACCGACCCCGTCAGGTCTTACCGCTGCCTCCTCCTCCAGGGCTGGGCCCAACCTCCTTGTGGGCCGTGCAGTGGTAGCCCTTCCGCTTGAGCAGGTTGCACACCAGAATGCCCAGAAGCCCCATGAGGCAAAAGACAGGCACGATGGCAATCACCGCATACTGGGCTGCTGTCTCCTCAGGACCGCCTGCCCGGGTGCCATTCCCAGACTGCCGAGGCTCACCATGGCCACTGGCACCTGCCGCCACTTCCACACCACGCCGGGCCCGTCGCCCTGACTCTGAACACCATAGAGGGTGGAAGCAAGGCAGCAGAGAAAAACATACAGATCAGTTGCTAGGCTGGTGCTGTCCTTCCTCAGCCCCGGAAAGGCTCTCCGCCTGACCTGCTGTGCCCTGCTCACTTCACCAGAGACACAGCGGTAATCTTGCCCCGATGGCCTGCCTTGGCCTAGCCTTGGGAGTCCTGGGTAGGCCGGGATAGGAGGCTGGGTGCAGGAGTGATGGCAGCGAGCCCAAGGACCTGAACATAAAGCTGGGGAAAACTGACATCCCCAAGACAGCCCACCCTGCCACACTAGGGACACAAAAGCCAGCTCATGGCTTTCTTCCTTGACCAGCCAATCAATTATCCAATGAGGCTTCCTTGGGCCTCAACCTACATTTGCCCCTCGTGCTAGGTGTGTGGAGTGAACAGACAGACACATATGGCACACTCCTAGACAGAGGGATGCAGGATTCCTCTTCACAACAGCACATGAATTAGTAGTAAGAATGTGTTCACAGGCATGTGCAAAGGCACATATGCATCTGTGGGGCTCTTATGGAGAGGACGGGGACAGCAGGACCAAATAGGGTATGAACCCTCAGTCCTAACGGCAGCTGCCAGACGCTGGGTGGTCTCTATCACTCAAAAGCAAGGCGGCTGACCATGTTGCTGGACACCTGCTGGCTGCCTGTTCTCCTGTGGCCTGGAAAAGGACCCTACTGTCCCCAAATGGATGCTGCAGAGACTCCTGGGCTCAAATTCACTGAGCCTACCTGTCCTACCCCACCATCTGCCACTTACCATCACAGCCACCAGTACTCGGAGGTGCCCTGGAGCATGGCTGACATGGAACATAAGGAACTCCCCGAGGCCCAAACCATCTGCAAGGAGGAAAGACGTCACTGAGGTCCAGAAGTAAAAAAATTGTCCTGAGGAAAAACTGGATTCCTTCCTACCAAGTGCCCTCGATGGCGCCACCCATCCATGTCACAGATGGGAAGGGAGGCCCAGCATGAACCCCACCCTCACCCTGTGCTCACCCAGGCTGGCAGTCTCCACACACTGTATCATGAGTTGCTGAGCCAGCCTGGGCCTCCAACCTCCTTCGAAGGCTGCAGCGATCATGAGACTGGCATGGATGAGAGTCCCATGAGGCCGAGAAGGTGCCTGGGGGGCAGGTTTGGCAGAATGCGCCCTTCCCTGGGTCCTGTGGGAGAGGAAAAAGATTACAAGGCCAGGAGCCAGGCCTAAGGCCCCTGGGCATCGAAGCCTAGGCCTCCCCCTGCCCTCAGGAGTCGTCCTGGGACAGGGCAGCATATCGCTCACCAGGTCAGGCTCCTTGCCAGGTGGACACAGCCAAGGAGTTATTGATGTTGGAGTGGCCAGAGGCCAGGGCAGCAGCTGGAAGAATGCAGGTGGAACACAGAAGACATGGTGACAGTGTTAGGCATGAGGCCTGAAGGGCCATGGACGCACTACCTACTTCCTGAACAGGGCATGAGTCGTCGCACACCACATGGGCTCCCTGCCAGGCTTCAGGGGCACTCTTAGAGCCTGCCTCTGCCAGTTCTGCAGCACTGCCAGTGTCTAGGTAGACAGAGAATTATACCTGCTTCTGGAAACTACTGGAAAGCCCCAGACAGGATCAGGACCTCAAGCCCTTGAGCCTCTGAATTATAGCTCTTTCAGATGAGTTACACCTCCTCACCCTAGACAGATGAGGAGGAAATGCTTCCGAATTCCTCTGAGATTGTCTCCCTTCCTGCAGCACACCTCCCCCTACCCCCAAGCTGGGCATGTCATTAACTACCCTCTGTTTATCATGCCTAGAGCCAAGTCTGCAGCTGGTGCTTACTTACTATTCTGGGCCCTGGGCTGAGTCTGAGACCACATCCTCCTCTGTGACCTCCCCCTGTGCCAAGGCCACCCCATTCATACCCTGCACCTAAACAGAGCATGCCACGTTCCAGAGGAAGGCTCTTCTAGATGTGGGTTAATGGACCCCTCTCTGGTGACCTCCCTCTGCTTCCCACTCAAACAAATGGACCACCTGCCCGACTCCTGCTGTGGGAAGACCCTGTCCTCCAACTTGGCCCCGGCTGTTAGGGCTAGGGGCACCAGGCATGGAGCAGGGCCAGCTACCCTGAAGGCAGAATGTCTGCTAAGGCTGGAGGCTGCCTCCTGGAGATCTCAGCCTGCTATCCCTGAGCTTCCAGAGTTGCAGCAGAAAGACCACACACACCAGACAGACCCCAAGGTGCTCTGACTCCAGCCCCAGAATCTGAGCTTCCCTATACTAATGCAGACCCTACATCCAGCACGAGGGACTCAGTTTCTTCCAGGTCCCCTCCTGCCCTCCTGGCTCTGCCCCACACCTGCCTGGGGCAAGCACCTTGCCCCTCAGCCATGCCTCAAATGCTAGGACATCCCTCCAGCCCATGTGGGAATTGCTTGGGAAAGCTGCATCCCTGGCCCCGCTGTCCTGGGTAGAAGAGGTTGTGTCTGTCTCTACAGGGTCACTACAGGGTCACGACTGCATGCTAGGGAGAAAGTGCTAGGAGACGCTTCGGCGGCTCTGAGGCTCTGAAGGCTTTGGATCCTTCCAAGAAAGAGGTGAGTGTTTACGTCTGCCAGAGCCTGAGGCTCCTGGGCAGTGCCTGCACCCTCTTCTCTGGAGTGCTGAGGTGCATGCTCAGATTCCAACTCTTCCAGCTTCTCTGGGGGCCCTTCTCCAACTCACCACAAAGAGGCAAGACAGGGGCCAGCACAGCGAGGTCCGCTTCATCATCAGGCCCTGGAGTGACATGGACCTAGGGCAGATAAAGGAAGCTCAGGGGAGCGGCCAGAGCAGGCAGGTGGCTGCTGTCCCCCTCCAAGCCACATTCAGGATACCACCAGGACTGCTGCCGGGTGCTGGGCAAACATTTGCCCTACATGGCAGGATGCAGGTCTGAGCAGAGGTAGAACTGACCTGTCCAGGGCCAGCCTTGTAGGCCTGGCCAGGCGGAAGGGAAGCTGAGGGCTCCAGCTCAGGAGGTTTCCCAGAGCAGGAAGTGCTTCCTTCCCCTTCCATAAACAGCCAGGTGCCCTGAGGCATCAGAGGAAGGGCAAGAGGAAGGAAGCTGGCAAAGGCCTGGGCTGGGGTTTAAGATGGCTATACCACCTCTAGCCGGACTCTTATCCCCAGCCTCTCACAGCTCCCAGGCCACTCTCACACTCTGCCTTAATTCTCGTAGGTTCTGCTACAGGAAGGCCCTCATCCTTCAAAGCCACCCCAAACGCCTCGATGTGGAAGTACTTCTAGAAGTCTGGCTGGAAGGCTGTAACCCTGCTCACTCTGTCACAGGCCTGTTCCTCCTCCACACCTCCCCCAGGGAGGGTCACGATCTAGAATTCAGACACATACACCAGACAGGCTTCTGCACTAGGGAATTGGGAACACCAGTGTCCACAGGGAGCTCCATCTCAGAGGGCAGGCACTATGGCAAACAGATTAAGACACAATGGTCCCACAGTGAGATGTTTCAGAGAACCTTCGCCAATGCCGGCTCCCCAGCTGAGTGAGGCTGCTGGGCCCAGACAGCAGCACCTCCGGAGAAGTCTGTAGCCAGTGGACAAAGTTAGAATGGCAGGAAGGATTCAGAAGAGATAACAGAAAGTCCATGTGTATTCCCACAGCCAGGGGCACAGGTGGGCTAGGGTGCTCATCAGGCCTCAACACAAGCTATGAGCAACCTCTGAAACCCCACGGTGCTCACGGGCCTAGCCCTCCCCGACCCCATTGGACCAGGGGGTCACAGGCTGTTTTAATGCCAAGCCTGACAGAGGACTTGTTGCTCGCAGGAGGTTCCGGGTCACAGGGCCCTCCTCTCCGCTGGTAGCCGGGCTTCCTGGCTGGAAACAAGAGTGGAGCGGAGGAAACCTATCCGCCACCTGACCTGGGCCTGGCCCCACAGAGACCTCAGCAGGGTCAGGGATTCGAGTTACACCCAGGGGAGGGGGAGGGGCTGGAGTCACATCATCCAGGGACTCTCCAGGTCACTGGCAGCCGGCCCCTCTTGGGCTCCAGACCAACTAAGGGGAAAACCAGGGACAGGGAAGGGCAGGCTCCAGAGTCGGAAAAGGCCACACGTGGCAGTCCACACTCAACAGATGGCACTCCTGACTCATCCCTTGACCTGTCCCTCCTCAGATTCAGTCACAAAACTGCCTTCCAGGTTCTGTACCACAGTGTCCCTTAAGCCTTCCCGGGCTCCGTGATCCCTCAAGACCATCTCCCATGGCCCCTCCACAGTCCTTGAGAGGATCTCACTATCACAGACCTGACCACAACCCCAAGTCTTCAGGTTGTCCCCACAGCATGCTCCCAGCCCCAGCAACCCTTTATGTCCTCAGGCAGCCCAGAGAGCTAGGAGAAGGGGTGAAAGGTAAGAAGTAAGACCCCAGGAGAGGCCCGGAACCACCCGGACCCTAACAGCACCTTCTGGGTGACCAGAGCCTCAAGGGGAGGCTATACAGCTACACATCTGCAGACAGGCCAGAACCCGAGTGATCCTGAGACTTCCCAGAGGAAAGTGGGGGTCCAGAGGCCCAGCCTCAAAGCCAGAGTGGACCCACTCAGGCATACCCACTGACAGCCGCCACCCAGCATCCCTTGCCTTCTAATTATGCACCTTCTAATTACCACACAACTGCTACTTACTCCAGTCTGGCTGCATGGCCCCCACTCTCAACCAGACTGAACCCCTCCTGCCCCCCTCCTGCTTGCTCAGGCACATGCATACATGTGTACACCTGCTGCAACCTCTGCCCCCCCCCCCCGCCCCAGCCCTCGCCCCAGCCCCAGCCCTCTAGCATCCAAGCTACTGCCCTAGAAACCCACAGGGAAACAAGTCCAGAGAAGCCCCTAGGAGGGGCGTCAGTGGAGCCCCCCATACTTCTACTTCTCTGGTCTAGAAGGCCAAAGCCTAACTCCTCCCGAGGGCTGAGCTGACAGACAGCAGCCCGAGAGTGAAGGGTCACGCCCACAAAGCCTGGCAAGCTCCAGGGTACCTGAGGGAGGACAGGGTTGAAGATGTAGGGTTCTGGCAGGGAAGGAAGTTCGCTCACAGGCCACTCCTCCGACCCCCAGCCCTGAGCATCCACACTCATCCACTAATTCCCTATGGGACCTGAGCCCCAGCTTCCCCAGCCCCGGTTTCCTCATCTGCAGGAAAGGTTGTTTATCTTCTGTGGTAGAAGCCTGTCGTGAAGCTTAACCCAGGTAATGGGCCTCAAGTGGGTCACGGGACTTCCTCCCCACACCCCACCCACCCCCCGGGGTGGTAATTAAGTATTTGTTGGCTTGCTTGTTCGCTGCTTGTCCCCCAACCAGACAACAGTCAGAGCAGGAATGTCTGTTTCATTCACCACAAAGCCCAGCACCCAACCCAGGCATGAAACTGGATGCCTCTACCAGGAGACCTCAGGGGGCTTTCTTAAACGTAGCCCTCTGGAAAAGTGCCCAAACAATTAGAACAGAAACTCCCTGAGCACAAGCCAACCAGCAAAGCTGCAGCAGGGCCCCAAACTGCAGGAGAAGCTGCCCCAGAGAGGGGCAGCCCTGGAGGCCTCACAGAAAGAGGAAGCTGTATTGCCTGCCCAGGCCTCAGGCAGCTTCCTCTTTCCTAGAACCCAATCTGTGGGTTTACCCCTAGCCCCAGCCGAGGCCCCCCAGCACACTCCCTGAGATCTTCCAAGGCCTCTGTCCACTTCTTCTGACCTCTAGGTCAGCCTTACCTGCAGCCTAGGTTTCTTGACAGATGTGGGTGTGCCCCGAGCCAGTTCCCCACCCCTCAGAATGGTGTCCCAAGGCACCCCTGAAAGCCTCCTCACACAAACATGTACCCAGACTCCAGCCACCTTAGGTTTCTCTCTCAGCTACTTGAGGCTTCTTTCAAGTCACAGAGATGTGTGTTACCTGCTGTTTCTTTTGCCCAGAACCCTCCTGTCACTTTTGGCCAACACCTACTCTTTCCTGCAGAGCGCAGTTCAAAGTCACTTCCTCCTGGAGGCCCCAACCACCACCCCTCCCTCAGCAATGGTGCCATTGCCCAGCCCCCCTTCTCACCACAAGTTGTCCTCTATGCCCAGTGCTACACTGGCTGGGTGTGGGCCGCACTGGGGTGAGAAGTGTCTTCAGTAGCCTGCCCAGCTACGCCAAGAAGGAGGGCCAGAGCAACACACTGTGGTAGAGAAGCCCAGAGGCAGAGCTGGTCTTAACTTGTGTCTGAAGCCCTCTACCACCCTGGGGAAACACTGAACTCAAGCTTGCCCTCCTCTGCTCTTCACTGGCTGGGAAGCTATGGGACCCAGTGCAGACGGCTCATAGAGGGTGAAATAAGAGAATTCACATTTAGTTCTCAGCACAGGATTGGCACAGAGTAAGTCCTCAATAAGCATGCACTACACTTCACCATGCCTCAGTTTCCCCATTTGTAAACTTTAAAAAAGGAAGAGCACATGTCTGACCAGCATAGGGAAATTCTCTTTTGTATTTATGATCAGCGGTTAGCAAGGGATCAAGTACACAGGAAATACCCAGTGGGCCACTCTGGGGGTGGGAGGTATAGGAGAAGGGTCTGGAAGGATTGGCAGGCAGAGCCCAGGTCATGCTGAGCTTGCACTTTTCCCAGGGCATAGAGCAGAGGAAGCGAAACCCTGATTTGCCTCTAGGCAGGCAGGTGAGCTGCCAGGCAAGTGAGGGCACTGCAGGAGAGGGAGGTGGGCCCAGGGCCCGCCTGGGGTAGGGTAGGGAAGAAGGCAGATTCTGCTTCCTAGCCCATGGCCTTCTCTGCAGCCTCTGGAGGCAAGGGTTGCCTGGAAACACAGCTGGACACAGGCCTTCCTCAGCAGTGGCTACACCAGGCAGCAACAAAGGCAACATCAATAGAGAAATCCAGGTTAGCAAGGGACCCAGTGGTTCCCTGGCAACTGGGGCTGAAGTAGGGCAGTGCCCACACTGGGCGCCAGTTAAGGCTGCTAGGCATTGCCAGCTTCCCTAACAGAAGGGGGCCGACCTCAGCCAGAGACTATCCCTCACCCTGGCTCACCTCCAATCCACGTCTGAGAGGTGAACATTCCCTTTTCAGACCTGAGTAAACTGGTTGGGGGAAGTCACCTGTGGGGATCGCATAGCCAGGCAGGGATGGAGCCCAGGACTGCCTCATCTCTGCCTTTCCAACCCTGAAGCCTAGTCCTGACTCCACAGGCAGACACACTCAAGAGTGCTTGCCAGTCTGATGGCGAGAAGGCGAGTGCAGAAGTGTGTGGAAGGTGGCTCAGACAGACGGACGGACGGACGGGAGCTCAGCGGAAGGTCTACTAGAAAGACCTGAGCAAGGCCTGGAGGAGGTGTGCCTCCCCACCTGGCAGCCTCGGGGCCTCTCAGAAGCGCTTGCACCCACGCTCTTTTGGATACTGTGCTAATGTATACCAGGGCACGCAGGACAGAACACTAGAAACCACAGGCAGCAAGAAGACTGGGGAAGTCTGGGAATTCCCAGAGGCAGGAAGAGCAGCTCCCAGGGCTGCTGCTGGGGCTGAAGGCCCAGAGATAAACAAAAGCTGCCTGGGAGCTATGCAGAAAGAAGGGCATCCCCACTCCCGGCTTTCTTCCTATGCAGCCCACACTTAGGGCAGCAGGAGCTGGACATGGTTCTGTTCATCACACCTCCTGGCTGCCACTGGGCCTGCATTTCAGCAGCTCAGGTGGTAAGGCAGGCAGGAGGGGGCTGAGAGGGCTAATTGACTCCTTAAGGCTAAGGAAAGA